TTTTCTACTTACTTAAACTAACGGCTAATGTATTGAGTGCTCCACTTAATTCAACCATTGTATCATGTGTTGCTAATGCTTCAAATTTATTTGGTGCATCAACAAATGGTAATTTTGTAAGTTTTTGTAATTCTGCAGCAACAAATTTACCAAATCCTTTTGGTGTATTAATACCTGTACCAACAGCTGTTCCACCAATAGCTAATTCATATAAACGTGGTTCAGGTGTTTTTAAACGTTCAATACCCATAGCTATTTGATGTGTATAAGCAGAAAATTCTTGTCCAAGTGTCATCGGTACAGCATCTTGTAAATGTGTTCGACCAATTTTATAAATTGATGAAAAAGCTTCCGATTTCTTTTTCAATTCATCATGAAGATGTTTTAATGCTGGATGTAATCGACGTTTTAATTCGAGTACAGCAGCAATATGCATAGCTGTAGGAAATGTATCATTTGAACTTTGACTTTTATTAACATGATCATTTGGATGAACCGGTTTTTTACTTCCCATTGTACCACCAAGAATTTGTATTGCTCGATTGGAAACAACTTCATTAACATTCATATTTGATTGTGTACCTGATCCTGTTTGCCAAACACTTAAAGGAAAATGATCATATAATTTTCCAGCAATAACTTCATCACATGCTTGTCCAATAGCATCCGACACCTTTTTATCAAGACCAAATTGTTGATTAACAGTTGCACATGCTTTTTTTAAATAACCAAATGCTTCTATTAATGGTAATGGCATACGATCTAAACATTTAAATGACTTATTTTACAAAAAAAAAGATTTCGAAATGTATCAATTATATACCAGTTGGTAAGCCTATATTAAAATGATACATTGAACGAGCTGTTTGTGCTCCATAATATGATGAAGTTGATACTTTAATAGGACCAAATGTATCAGATTCTGTACGTGTCTCACCAGTTGGCTCAGGAATATCATGATGACTCATTCTTATAATCTACAATGAATAATTAGAAGAAACTTTTAATCTCAATAAATTTTCATTTACCATATGTGGATTAAAACTCGAAATAGTTGGTAAGGACATTCGAATATGTCCTTTTAAAGCAGCTCGACTGCATACTGGTAAAACACGACACAAATGAGATGCCATCTAAATAAGATTTTGAAAAAAATAGATCTATATTTGATTGTTTATATCGTTTGAAAGAAATAGAAGAGATATTAATTTCGTTTTTAAGAGACAAAAAAAAATACATGGAATAATTATACACATATAAATCCTGGAAAGACCTAATATATCAGACAGAAAGAGAGAAAGAGAAAGAAAAAAAATAATAATAAAGACAAAATAGAATTCTATTACATTGCAGTAATACAGAGAAAAAGTACAATAATAACAAAAAATAAAGTACGTTAAGAATTTATCCGACAAAACAGTGAGAAAAAAAACATATCTATATATGTTATCAATTGGTTTAAACAGATGTTTGTAAATGAGGTAACAGACGAGTAAGTTGTCCAATAATATCTTCACAACATCGTTTATAATGCCATGCGCTACCTTTTGTACGTTTACGTTGAATACCTAATTCTTTACCTTGTACAGCAACAATTTCTAAATCAAATTCTAATACGATTTTACCCCAATCATCTTCAATAAAAACATCGTATATAAAACGACTTCTGAAATTAATAATAGAAATTATATAGCACATACAAAATTTTCTAATATATATATATACCCTTTTTCTTTATATTTAAGTTGTGAATTATTTTTAATTGCTTGTTCAAGTAAATCACATATTTGATCAGCATCATCAACATTAATTGGTGTAACATTAGCTGTTTCCTAAAAGAAGAAGAAGAATTATAAATAATAATATAATGAAAATAAAATTACCCAAGTTTTTCTTGGTTTATTTCCACTAGTACGTTTCGGTGTAAGAATTTGTTTAACTGTATTAAGACCACGTTCAACACTACCAAATAATGAACGAACATTTTTCTTTTGACGTTGTGGTGTTAAGTAAACATCTAAATCATCACTGTCAACAGCTCCGACTGAAAATGCTCTAAATACCAGACAGAAGAAGAATACAAAACTAAGAACAAAAAAAAATGCTTTTTTACTTTAATGCTGATGCAATCTTTGAATCATCAAGATTATCATCATCAAGACCATCATCAAATGATTTTGATGCACTTATACGATGATCTATTAAAAATATCGTATGAAAAAATAAATATTTTTTTCTTTTTCTGTTTAAATATCTTACCTCCTTTCTTTTCAACAGCTTTTTTTGATCCACCAGGTGATTCAGCAAACATTAAAATTCGTTGACAATTAGGTGTCCTAGAAACATATAAATTCATTTATTTATATTCATCAATAAAATTTATTAGTTTTTACTTGACAGTTGGTGTTGTTCGTTCATGATGTTTTGGATGTGAGTTTTCATTGTTTTCTTTATTTGGTGTTTTATGATTTCTACTTCGTTGTTCACTATTCGATGGGACTGGTAATTTATTTCCATATGTTGGTGGTAAATGTGTTTTATCTTGTTGAGAAATCAGTAAAAGATCAGCTGGTTGAGCATGTCGATGAACAGTACGTGATCGTGGATTTGCTTCTTGATTTTTTTCACGAAGTAAATTAGCTGGAATAGAACTTGCTTGATGTGTACGTCCATCTGCAAGTTTTGCATTCATTGTTTGAGTACGATTAGGTAAAAGACGTATTGGTTTATGTCGAGATTTAAGATCAAGTAAAATAAAATATGTAGCAGTCATATAATCATATTTTTTCTAAATTAAAATACAATTATATATTTTATTTATAATGAACAAAAATATATATTTACACAAGAAAGTTCGTGAGCAATATCATTGACAGCTCGACTATAATAAAGTGCCATTTCACGTATACATGATATATCTAATTTATTCTATAAATAATTTAATAAAACTATAGATATTAATTAGTAATTAAAACTCTTATATACCTGATAGATAGATTCATGTTTAACTGGTTCAGGATAAACATTATTTATAAGCCAACGATGGCGTAAAAGATCATCAATTCGAATTCGTTTAGTTGGATCAACTTGAAGCATAAGACGTAATAAAGCAACACTTTCCTGTGATAACCATGATGGAATATGATAAACACCATTCTAAAAAATAAATCAGAAAATAAAACTTTGTTTATCTAATAATAATATTACTTGAATTTTTGCATACATTGATGCAATGTTTTCATCATCAAATGGAAGACTACCACAAAGGAGTGCATATAAAAGTACACCAAGACTCCATACATCTGCCTAAATAAAGAAATACAAAATGATAATTATTGTTGTTTTTTTAAGAAATTTTGCTAGACACAAATTGCGTGCTATGAAGAAGACGTAAGCAAAAGCTTCAATTAACAATATCGGTTACCTTATCTACTCTTGAAACTGAAATATTAAATTTTTAAAATATACATATCAATTTTTACTTAAATTTTCTTAGATAAATAAAATTCGATAGAATCTTACCACATCGCCTCTATAGTTTATTCCAGAAATAATTTCCTATAGAAAAATAGAATAAAATATAAATATATCAATAGTCTTTCTTTTTCTTTTTACCGGTGCAGCGTAAGCTGGACTACCACAAGCTGTACCCAAGTATGCTAAATTGATGCCACCTTTCGGTTGAGCACACAAACCAAAATCGATTAGTTTTAAATTTTCTCGACGATCAAGTAAAAGATTTTCCTTGAATATACAAAACAATTACTCGTGTTTTTTTGTTGTCACAATCAAATACATACTGGTTTTAAATCACGATGACAATAGCCCTTTTTATGCATATAAGCTACAGCTGATACAATTTGTCGAAAAAAATGTCGAGCTTGTTCTTCAGATAACCGATTTCGATTGACTATATAATCAAATAATTCACCATTACAAAAATACTATAATAATATTAATAATTATAAAAAAAAAACGAAACAAAAGAATTCAAAATACTTCTAAGACTAGAAAGTAATATTCATCTGTTTCAATAACTTGATAAAGTTGGCAAATATGTTGATGACGCAAATCTTTCATAGCTTTTATTTCAAGTGCAATACGAGCTACATCACTCTATAATACAAAGACAAGAGAAATATTTTTTGGAAAAAAATGAATAAATGAATATTTACGCCGAGTTTTGCTTTGTCAATTATTTTAATAGCAACATGTTCACCTGTTAGCAGATGTATTGCTTGTTTGACTTTACCAAAACCACCGTTACCAATGGTTTTTTGTAATTCATAATATCCAGCTAATACTGGATAAACAACTGGTGGCATAGTTGAACAGCAAAATTATGATAGATAATGAAAACGAATTACAGAAAAATTTCTTTTTTGTGAATACTGACAACAACACCTAGTTCGATGAGTGGGTGGATGAATATGGTTACTTGTTCTTTCTTTCTTTACAATCTTTTATTTACGCTCCAATCATAAATTCGAGCAATTATTTATTTCCATCGTCTTTCGACGACATCTGCTACTATTTTCTATATATCGACATGTACGAATTTAAAAATCGAATTATATCTCTTAAATCAATACGAATATTTCTGTAAAAATCTACTTTTCATTATTATTATTATTTATAAATAAAATCTTAATCATTCAAAATAGTTATATATTTAAAACTAATTGATTCAACTGTTCCTTATAAGATGAATGTTCAAATATCATATTATGATCGTGACAGATTTTCATGTTTAGTGAAGATATTCAATAGGAGAAACATATTAATTCTTAATGATATTTAGAAATATAGCAAAGTTGTTTTAAGATATTGATATAATCTGTATATCTTATAACACTTAAGACAACAAGTATACACTTTAACATACAATAGACAGGATTATTTAAAATATAAATTTTCTTTCATCACTCTTTTCCAACGGCGCCACTTGTTTGGAAAGTGTTCGACAAATAATAAATCATCTATTGTTTTATCTCCATTCACTCGTTCGCTCTTTCGGCCTACTTTATTAATAATATCTCTTCTTCTTTTCAGATATTATCCTTATGAAAGAACGAAATACAGGATAATTTTCTTTTCTTCTCATACATCATATATATATATCATATACAGCTTATTATCACATTTTAGTCAGATAGATGAAAAGCAACACTTTTTTTGGTATTTTTTAAGTCTTATATAAGTAAATATTTTTTTGTCAGATAATATTTCTTTGTTAACAATGGGCCTATTAACACAAGGACGTCCATTAAGTTGGGCAGAAACAAAAAAATATGTTCAATATACACGTGAACATGGTGTAGAACAATTTATAAATCTTTATAAAAAACTTAAAGATCGCCGAAATGATTGTCTTAAATGGGGAGATGAGGTATTAAATAATTCTCGAATGACAAATTAATACTATATAAAATATTTCAGGTAGAATTTATTATGGTTCGTTTTGATCATGAAAAGAAAAAAGTACAATTAGTTCTCAAAGCTCATAAACTTCTACCTATTCTTATGGAACCTGAAAATCAAAATTGCGAGTAATTTTAATTCATAAATATATCAATCAAATTAAGAGATTATTCTTATTTTTTTTTCTAATCAAATGTTTAGTAATTGTACATCACTATGGCGACCAGAATATACAGTGAGTTTTGCTAAATTAAAGAAGGTCGAAGATATCTTATAGTTGATATTATAGGATTATATGATTGAAGGAACACCAGGTAAACCATATGGATATCTACCAGCACATTTCAATATGGTAGAAGCTAATATGCGTTTACGGTAAAATTTGTAAAATACTATTACTAAACGAATTTTGTTTATTAGACGAAAACAAGCTCAAGAATTACTTGATAAGGATGAATATGTATTAAGTACTTCAAACTTTCCACGGTATAAACCTTCTTTTAGAATCATTATTTTTGTTTTTTTATATATTTCTTTTTTTTTAGAAACGGATGTCCTGATTGTACATGGCCTACATATAAATCAACATTAGACACATCGGTATCTAATTCACTCTGTTTTCCAGATCAAGTCATATTTCCTGATCATCCTCGATTTAAGTAATAAATAAATAAATAAAAAAAATACGAATTATTCGAATATATATTTATTTTTAGAACATTAACACAAAATATCCGTTCACGACGTGATGCTAAAATTGCTCTCAATGTTCCGAGTATATATACTAAATTAAATAGAATATTCGGATATATTTAATTATTCTAGTTTTCATTGATACAAATACTCCTCGACCATTCATTGAAGATTTTTCTATTTATGGTGATGATTATGGTGCTTATGGAACTGCTGCTCTTAAAGATCATATCTATCTTGATGCTATGGGTTTAGGTATGGGTTGTTGTTGTTTACAAGTTACTTTTCAAGCACAATCAATCGATGAAGCACGATTTCTTTATGATCAACTTACACCATTAACTCCTATCATGGTAAAAGAAATGAATTAATTTTTCAGTGAACATTTTGTTCATTATTTATTTTTTACAGTTAGCAATGAGTGCATCATCACCAATTTGGCGTAGATATTTAGCTGAAATTGATTGCCGATGGAATGTTTTATGTGCAATGTCTGATGATCGAACAGCTGAGGAACGAGGATTTGAAGTAAATACCAACGATCCTATATTAATTATTTATCCGATAACAGATTTATGTACGATTTATTTTTAGCCATTAAAAAACGATCGATTTCGTATACCTAAATCTCGTTATTCAAGTGTTGATTGTTACATATCACCTGAAAGTGCGAAATACAATGATATTGAAATTGTTCAAGATATGAATGTTTTTAATAAACTTATTGAGAATGGTAAAACTATTTTAATATTTATATTATTGTTATTATACTTTACTTCAAATAGGTATTGATCATTTATTAGCCCAACATATCGCACATTTATTTATTCGTGATACAGTTATTTTATTTGAAGAAAACCTTCATCTTGATGATACAAAGGATACTGATCATTTTGAAGTAAAAACATCTTTTTTTTTATTTTATTTTGTTTCTAAATCTTTTAATTTTAGAATATTAATTCAACTAATTGGCAATCAATGAGATTTAAACCACCTCCAGTTAATAGTAATATTGGTTGGCGAGTAGAATTTCGACCGACAGAAGTAAAATGAAAATATTCTTTTATTTTTAAATCAATTTTTTCTTATCTTTAGTTACAAATGACTGATTTTGAAAATGCAGCATTTGTCACATTTATTGTTTTATTAACACGTGCAATTATGACATATAATTTAAATTTACTTATACCTATTTCTAATGTAAGACAAAAGAAAAGAATATGATTATATAAAAATTTATTAAATTTAGGTTGATGAAAATATGCAAGTTGCACAGCAACGTGATGCATTTCGACATCAAAAATTTCATTTTCGAAAATCTCTTTCAACAAGTATATTTTAAATATAATAACAGAGAAGAAATTGAGGATTTACACGCTCTATCTTCTTTTCTGATAATACGTTTTTTAGAAAAAGTTAGTGACCTTCTTTTTGAGAGTGCAAAGACAACCTAAGTAGATGAGAGAAATTGACGAAGGTGTAAAGCAAAACTAAATCAAATTCAGTTTTAACGAGTAGTATATAAAAATTAGAGGCAAATGATCCAAGTCAGAATTACAATCATATCACTGTTTCTAATCTATATTAATAGAATTTCGAAACTCTAGCGAAAAATGTTATTTAAGACTAATATCTTGTATTATTTTTATTCAGAACAAACACCTAATACACCTTGTATGAATTCTGTTCAGAAAAATATATTTCAAGAAGATAATCCTGAAAATCGATGTGAACATCGTCTTATGACAATCAATGAAATCATAAATGGATCAGTAAAATTATCTTCTATCTAGATATATTCATGTGTATATATTGATTAATATTTTAGAATGAATTTGTTGGTCTTTTAAATATTGTTCAAGAATATTTAACTAATATCGAAGTTGATGCTGATACACGATGTACTATTAATCAATATCTAAATTTAATTAGTCAACGTGCTGCTGGTATGTAAAAATAATGAATTGAATTTATTTACATTATATTATTTCAAGGTACGTTAATGACAAATGCTAGTTGGATGCGTCATTTTGTAGCAAATCATCCATCGTATAAACATGATTCAGTTGTAACAGATGAAATCGCTTATGATCTTTTATGGAAAATGAAAAAAATAGCAAATGATGAAGATCATTGTCCAGAAGTATTACCAAAAATGTCATCGAAAACAACACTTGATGTATCAGCAGCAATTCAAAAAGCTAATAATGAATTAGAAGTGAAACGATCTTTAATACAACAAAATCAATCATTAAAAAATTAATATGAAAATTATATAACATTTACATATTACTTTTTTTCGTGAATATTATTTGGGTTTTTTTTTGAAAATAATTTTTCAATTAATTATCTTCTACGACTTGCTAATCTTTATTTGATATTTTACGCATATTCACGCAATCTGTCTTAAACTATTATGTTTCTCTATTTCTACAATATCCATTAAAATAAACTTCAATTTATGCATTAGGAAAATTCTTTTTTTTTAAATTTATATATACATTATCTAATATTATTTTTCAGATAGCTATGAATTTGGAATTAAAGTTTTACAAATTAGTAAATAATAGAAAACGAGTTTAAAAATCAATTTCATAAAACGGAAAGAATATTATTGTCTTGTTGATAGTTCAGAAGGGATGATAATTGAAAAAAAATTATTATTTAGTTCATTCATATATTTCTTTTCACCAATATCAATTACTAGCTAAAATATAAATGGAATTAGCATATATATTATACTAAACACTGTGGACAAACAATGAATATTAAAACTTACAAAGTGTAATTTCTTTTTGTTCGATATTATTTCCATAAAATACCAGCTACATGATGGTGATCTTATTGAATATTTGTTTGATTCTATTGCAACTATTTCGTCTAATTTAACTTTTTCTAGCCATCTTATCAAAGAACATACAACAATCCCATAAATTGCACTGCCTAATATTACAGTACCTCCAATATAGATTGGAGTTATCATTAGTTTTTCGTTATGACTTAATGTTGTTATCAAATTAGAAAGAATTAATATCGTTCCAGACATACACAAAAAATACCATAGGATAATTAACCATTTTATTGCATTAGAAAAAAGCACCCGATTAATATTGTTAATCGATTCACGAAATTCATCTTCGGTAATAAATCCATTTAGACGAATAGGATAAACGGAATTAAATTTCAACTTCCAACATCCATCTGAAGACATACCACATCAATATAATTCGATAAAATAATATCAAAATAAATAATGAATACTTTACCACGAACCATCATGACTTCAATTAGATTTGGGTTCAGCATTGTACCATGATCAGTCTTCTCTATCATATTCATTAATCTAAAATGAACATTTGTATGTAAATACTTTTAGATCTGTGTCACTTAACTTTCTGCAGAACATAATGATACTTTTATCTCAAAGATGTCAAAAATATGTTCTCTCAGAATATAAAAATAAGTAAGAGAGCGGTTTGAAAATACAACTTCCCACTTTCATTAAAACTTTTTCAAATATTATAGTATTCTGTACATTGTTTTATAAAATAACTGATCTCTCCTTTCTGTTAATTCTTACCGATTATTTGAATTAATTATTATCCGCGAATGATAGTAAATAAATTTTTTATCGGATTGATTTGTTGTAGGATTTTATTTTCTTTGTTACCTGTTTTAAACTTACGAATTTTAATAATTATTTAACTTGATTGTATTCTCTATTGTATTAGATGTAACAAACGCTCAAAAATGAATAAAAGATAAGAGAAATGTGATAAGAATTTATGATATCTCTTCATACTTTTTACATGAATTATAAAAGAGTGGACAAAGACCATTTTTGTCTGATGTAACATATAGATAAACATATACATTTCTGCTCTTTTTTTGTTTCATATTTTTATAACATGAGCAGTGTAATGAAACAAAAAACATACTTCTGAAAGACTTATGTGATTTAATTCATATCTGAATAATAAATATATAGAAGCAATTGTTACTGGCATATTTTCTGATCTTTTATGATAGAACTTAATTATCAATTGATAAGAAATGAGTATGGGAATCTTATTTATTTTAAAAAATTTGTATTAAAACTCAAAAACAATGAAGTATTGTTAGAAAATTTTACAAAATGTGTATGTGCATTTAATTCAACTACATAACCATCCTTTCATAAATGAAATGCAATATTCATTATGAGCATCGTTATTGTTAAAAAGATCATAGATATATACTTTAGATACTGTATAAAACCGGTATTCATGCATGTTTCTTATATATGAAGTAAATTTTTAACTATGACATAGAAAGTTTATGTATAAGTCATACTGTATAACTTATACAGTGTAGTATCAATCTTAGAATCATAAAAGCAATATGAAAAAGAAATCAATTGATTACGGTTCGACTAATGCACTTTCTATTCAGTTCTGTTAGCTACGGGTCAATGAAGACAAAATAGTACATTTCACACAACATGTTTGAAAAAAAGAGTCAAATAGGAAGAACAAAAATAAAATGTGATTGAGAAAACGATTTAATGTATGATGTCATGAATAATATGATCAAAAAGGAAATAACCAACTCATTTTTTTTTGATATGATGCATTTGAAAAATTACTGAAATATATTGATTATATATAACACACAGATTTTTCTCATTTCTCATCATTTCTTCAAGATGACCCACCATATTGTTGAACGCCCTATAGGTGGAAATCAAGATAAGTTCTTTTTATGGGCAATGGTTATTCTTCCAATTTTATCATTGTGTGCATATGTTGGCGATGCATTTTACTTTTATCATGAAGCCCTTGAACAAACTCCATCACTCTATGAAGGTCTACTCTCGACAATTCTTATTCTCTTTGCCTACCTTCAATACTGTGCACCAATCAAATCAAGAGAATTACGTTTGGCTTATCATATCTTGCTATATATACTTATCGAAACTGGACATGTTGGCTATATTTTCGCATACAGTTGTACAAAGGATCTATTCTCTGTTATAATATTTGTGGGGTGGATGCTATGTGATACATTTTTTACAGCAGGATTAATCTATTGTCGTATATATCGTCAACTTCATTTCCACATTGAAGTGGAAAATAAACATATTTTTCATTTTATATCTCGATTAGATGTCATCCTTGCTCTTTTTATACCTGTCTTTCTTAATAAGGATCTTTCAACAACTACTCGTGATAGTATTGCATTCTTTCTATTATTTGATTTCTTCTCGGAGAAATACGAACACTTTAGTAGTATTTGGATCAAAGCTTGTCTTTATTTATTCGCCGCTGTTACAACGATTTCCATCGCATGTGAATGGCTCTACTTTCGTTTTGACGAAGACGTCTTTAATAGCATTACCGACATAGCTGAACTTGTTGCTGGATGTTTGTGCAACTCTCTAATTATTATGCAATTTTTTCCTTATCATTTCAAGCCAAGGCATTTACAAGAAATGGCACATCAGTCACAAGTTGCTGTCGTTGGTACTTAATCAGACTCTCATGTATAATTATTGAAATATGGTACTTTAGTAGATTATTTTTGTGTATGTTCTTGAATAGTAATCTTTATTTATTATTATTAAATCTACAAAGAAATAGATTATGATCGAATATTGTTTTCATAATAAGATCTTTTCAACACTTGTGCATTCAAAAAACATCTTAAGTGAGAAATCGACTTTTAAGGGGGGTAGCGGGTGTTTATAACTTATCAATTCAAAAATGTTCGGCAAATGTTTTATCTATTTTAATAAAAAAATGTTTCGTTTCATTTTTGTACGAAAAACCTTCGTCACAAACCAAAGATAAAATGAAATATGAGAAATATAGTTAAAAAGTAGAATATCTCTTGCACATTCGATTGAATTTGCTAAACCATTGTAGTTAATGTAATAGATATTCGTAAGTTAGTCATAGTTTGAAAATCAATGATCAAGATTTTTTATCATTTTATTTGAGAACTAACTAAATAACAATTTGTTGCTTATATAAAAAGACAAATATTATCTACTGTCTTAAGTAAATCGTAATTACGATCTCATTCATAATTCTAATTGTATTAAAATTCAAAAACAGTGAAGTATCGTAAGCAAATCTTATAGAATGTATATGTGCATCGTTGTTATTAAAAAGATAATAGATATATGCATTAAATATTGTACAAAAACGGTACTCATCCATTTTTCTTATATATAAACTAGATTTTTAATTGTGACATAGACAGATTATGCAAATAGTTATACAGTATAGTATTAATCTTAGAATCATAAAAGCAATACGAAAAAGGAACCAGTTGATTCCACTTGGATTCATGCACTTTATATTCAGTTCTATTAATTACAGGTGACTGAGTAGAAAATAATATATTTCACGTGTAATGTTTGAAAACCGAGAGTCATATCGGAAGAACAAAAATAAAATATGATTGAAAACGATTTGATGTATGATGTCATGAATAATATAATCAAACGGAAAAAACCACCTTACTTTGTTATGACATCATGCATTTGAGAAATTATTGAAATAGATTGATTATATATAACACACAGATTTTTTCCATTTTTATTATTTCTCCAAGATGCTTCACCATATTGCTGTACGTCCTGTAGGCGAAAACCAAGATGGTTTTTTTCTATGGGCAATGATCATTCTTCCAATTTTATCATTGTGTGCATATGTTGGTGATGCATTTTACTTTTATCATGTTGCACATCATACAACTCCATCACTCTACGAAGGTCTACTCTCAACAATCCTTATTCTTTTCGCCTACCTTCAATATTGTGCGCCAATCAAATCAAGAGCATTACGTTTGGCTTATCATATTTTGTTATATATCCTTATTGAAGTTGGTCATATTGGCTATATCCTTACATATAGTTATAAGAAGAATGTATTCTCTGTTATAATATTTGTGGGATGGATGCTATGTGATACAGTTTTTACTGCAGCATTAATTTACTGTCGTGTATATCGTGGATGTGAACGTGAACGTGAACGTGAACGTGGACATCTATCTAGACTTGATGTCCATATTGATGCAGAAAATAAAGATATTTTCCATTTTATATCCCGATTAGATGTTATTCTTGCTCTTTTTATACCAATCTTTCTTAATGCAGACTTCTCGACAACTACTCGAGATAATATTGCATTCTTTCTGTTATTTGATTTCTTCTCGGAGAAATATGAACATTTTCATAGAGCTTGGATCAAAGCTTGTCTTTATTTATTTGCTGCTGTTACAACAGTTTCCATAGCATGTGAATGGCTTTACTTTGGTTTTCATACTGACATCTTTCATCAAATTACCGATATATCTGAACTGGTTGCCGCATGTTTCTGCTACACTTTAATTATAATGCAATTTTTTCCTTATCATTTTAAATCGAGCTACTCAGAAGGAAGGAAACAACAGTTACAAGGTGCTGCCGCCGATACTCAATTGGACGCACGTGTATGATTATTGAAATACGGTATTTCAATAAATTATTTTTGTGTATGCCCTCGAATAGTACTCCTTTTTTACTATTATCATATCTAGGAAAAAATAAATTATGGTCAAATATTGTTTTCATGATAAGCCACTCTCAATATTTCTGCATTCCAAGATATTTATGAAATATATTTTTTAAAATGTCATAGTCGAGATTTATTCAATTCATACATTACTTTTTTGTACAAACCGATGATGATGTAATTCAATAATATGTAAGCTATAAACATGATTCATTTGCACGGACAAATTCAATATGAATGTAAATATTTCCATCTATTTTTTTGTTAATTTGTATGTTGGTATTTTCGAAATAAACATGATTAATTAATATGCGCAGAAAGCAAAACGGACACGTATAAGTGTTTGTATATGAAGGTATGAGAGAGTGAAATTACATATGTGTATACTCACGTGTAAATAAATTCAACCCTCTATGTGTAATCATGTGGTAATTTTTTATTCTATATCAATTTTAATATAACGATTCTGTCTGGGGCGTTTCTCTCATTTACTGAAAAATAATCACACATCTATGTCTATAGTAAAAAAACTGTTTTTACCTACGAGAGTAGTTTCAGTAAAAATGCGTGATAGAATAAAGTATAGATATCATACTTCAAAATGTATGATTTTAACTCGTAAAATATTCTAGATATGAATACACATATGATCCATAAGATTTGAATCCCTATTACATTCGCGATCATGATATATGTTCCAATACAAATTTTAAGATTCTGCTATCTTCTAAAATAACAAAGAAACGTTCAGATTAATACATCTGATTTTGAACGAACAAAACAACGTGACCAATAAGTTAAAGAAAGAAAAAGAGAAAATTAGATGTATAGACACATGAAATACATGTTCGTTAATTTAAACGAACTTTTGCATTTATTATGTCGTCGTTAAATATTGATTCTCGTGAATGGAATAAATTATTTCCATCAGATATTAATACAGAATCAGATTCCATCTTATTTATTCATCGTCTATTTACTGTAACTCTATCAGTATTAACTGCTAAACGACATATTTTTTCAAATGATCATTTTTCATCAAAAAAACTTGGTTCATTATTTGTTCCACTATTTACTCGACCAACATCTCTCATCGAACAAAAACGATTTAATTCAACAGTTTTCTCATGGGTACTTCAATATTCTTATACCAAAAAACACCTTGTCTTCACATTTTTTTGTATATTCATTCTTTAGATTCAAGGTGTGTCTCAAGCTATTACTCAAAGTTATTTAAAATTAGCTACTTTTTTTGTGATTTCAAAAAAAGATGATACAGTACTTGAAATGTATGAATATTATTTTGCTTATAATAATACTGGATCAGATACTCATAATGAAAGTTTTTTAAGTACAACATCAACGGATGATATTCAACAACAAGTTTTCAAAGCAATCGAACAAATCAATCAATTTATTGATGAACGTCTTGAGCCAATTATTAATCGTTCAGATTATCGTTTTTGTCTTAAAATTCAATATAATACATCAATAACACCTAATGATTATCAACCAACAGGTTTTATTGATTCATGTGAAATAATTTCACCAGTTAATTGGAAAAAAATTCTAACAACAAAAATACAAAGTTCAAGAAAAATTTTAGCACAAATTAAAACAACACATCATAAAATGTTACTTGTATTTCGAACACCAACATTGAATTCAACTTTTAGAAAATAATTGTAAATTTTATTTATTTATTGTCTTGTTTTTTTTAAAACATTAGATTGTACAAAAAAATGATGTAGATCCTTATGATAGAATAAAAAAATTCAATGTATAATTAGAAAAAGTTAACAGAATAAACTATTCAAATCTTTTGAGTAACCATGTGATTTATTGAATGTCGTCTCTATTATATAAACAATAAGGATGGGTAGTATCCTTTTATGATTTTATAAATATATCAGAAATCAAATCAAGAATGACACTTCATAGTATTCTAAAGGTCCGTTTTGTCACATCTGTCAATCGAACGTTTAGACACAACCATATGCTTTATATTAGAATGTCAAATCTGACAAAATCAGTAATGATATTTGTCGAGTTAAATATAATGCTAACATGTTACTTTCAGAATGAATATATTAAGATTCTTCTATGATAATATAACAAAAAAATAATTTTATTTTTGAATGAAAAGATAAATAAAAACGAAAATTAACTATTCATAATAGTTTGAACCCATTCATCTTCCGATAACAATATATTATCCCAATCTTTTATAGTTTGTGTTTCATGTGTTGCTATAGATGAATATGTTTGTGTTCCATTATCAATTAAGTCAAGTAAATCAATAGCATCGAAATCAAGTAAAACCGATGATGTTAAATTATTAGAATGATTTGTTGAGAAATCATCAAGTAAAAAATCATCAAAAAAACAAGATGTACCAACAGATTCTTGATCTGGTGGTAATAAATAATTATTAAATTGATTTGTCATTTGTTCTAATGGATATTCATTCATTGTTTGCATTTGTGTTGATGTCATTGAAATAGGTAATGTTTGAACAATAGCATTATGATTATTATCTGATAAGTCAGATGAATAATCAAGAAGATTTGAAACATCACCAACAGTTTGAATACAAATATCAGAACGTAATGGTGATGATATTTGAGTTTCTCTATCTATAACATGAGAGTTTTTCCATTGTAGTGTATTAGAAAAATTCGATTTTTCTAAAGAATATTGTGTTGGATTTTTAGGCATTCTTATACGAGTTGTTGTTTGACTTGATTTTTGTTCAGTTGTTTTTATTGATATCGGATTTGGCGAATTAAAAGAACAACATTCTGTACCAATAGAAACAGATGTATTTGTTTGAGTAGCTTTATTTCTATCGAATTCAAATGCCGAGGTAGAACAAATAGATGTTGATTCAGAATTTAATTTTTCTAATAATTGTAAAGCAAGTGGATTAATAATAACGGGTGGACAAGAGGTAGAAGGAATATTTTGACGAGAAAGCTCGATTTGATCAGATGGAAGTGGACGGCGACAACGATTAGGTCGTTTTCGACGTTCAACTGGTTTGGGTAAAGAAGAAAGACTATTGTAAAAAGATAAAATTTTACATTAAACTAAAAAACAAGAATATATCTGATCTTACTTTGTCATGGGAGAACTATTTTGCGGATCATTATTTAAATTCACATGATATTTTAACTGATGTCGTCGTAAACTTGTTCGATTTTGAAATTGTTGATCACAATTCGAACAAGAAAATGGAAAAAGTATACCACAACTAATAACATATATATTCATTTTATTTCTTATGAATCATTTAAAAAAAGAAAATTGACTAACATTTTTTCATGGGCAATAAAATCCTGATGAAGACCAAATGATTTCCAACATTTTGAACATTGTTCTTTTTTTTCACCATGTTGTCGTAAATAATGCTAATATAAAATAAATATTAATTTGAACATATAAATCTATAATATTACTAACTAGTCGTACTGCATTAAAACTTGAAAATGAATTTGACTGTAGAAAATTCTTTTCACAGCAACAATAAAATGTGCAGTTTTCTATAGGACAATGATAACGACCAGTACGTAATATATATTTATTTGATGCCTATATGAATACTAATAGAAATATTTAGTTTTTATGTTTTATTACGAACTGTTATTATGCCTGTTTCTTTGTGATACATTTGAAGATGTACATTAAGGGCCATAATATTTTTAAATAGTTTTTGACATTTTTCGGATAGAAAATTTTTTTCTCTATGTGGACATTTAACTTGACTTGTTTCATAATTGAGTTCTTCACATGTTGGAATAATACATTCGATAGATGAATTTGTTTGTAAATGTTTATTTAACTGATTTGTCTGGCAACTGATCATCATTTAAATAAATATCTTGTTCAGATTTAAATGTACGTTTTTTTCCTAAGGTTTTCTTTGTTTCTAAACGTTTTGCGTCTTTTTTTTCACTTTTTTCTCTTTTATATTGTGCAACAAGACTTTCTTCACCGTTGTGAAGAACATCAAGTTTTTCTTGTAATTGACGACGTGCAAGTAAACGATTTTTTTCTAAAAAACGAGTCTGTTGACATGTAACAACAATACCTAAACAATATGCAAAAATATTTTATTTTAGAAAATTTCAATAAGGTACTGAATTTTTACCTGTTGGAATATGTTTTATTTGACAACAATTGTGTGTTTTATTTATTGCTTGTCCACCTGGTCCTGAACCTTTGATAGCTTTTTCTTCAATATCTTTTTCGTCAATAGGTGGTAAACGTTTATACCAACTGTCAGGTAAAGCTGTTGATACAAAACGAGTGCTAATAATCGATTGACTAAAATATAAGTATAGATAATATGAAAGAAGAAAATACTTCGATAATTAAGAGGATTAGTAATCTATTGTATAATATTTGTTTATTGTACTTTTTACACATGTATTTCCTTTTCGTTCCGTTTGATTGGTTTCATCTTTAATACTTGACATATGTTTACGTCTTCCCTTAATTTCACTATATGTTATCTTATCGTATGTATTACTCCTCTTGGGATTTACTACAATCACTGTACCTCAATAATCCGATAGATATGTGATCCGCTATTGTATACATATAGTCTGTAATTTTTCTTGAACAAAATAGATATTTTCTGTGCACTTGCGATTCACTGCCAAATACCCTGGCTGTATCAGTATCATCATCCTTGATGACAAGTACAAATGATAATAGTCAATGGAAAACACAATTCAATACAAAACTTGTGATCTTGAAACATGCGAACAGGAAATATATATATGAAGAGTACAATCAGCAAATTATTATTAAAATATAATCTCGAAGAAAGTTCATTTTTTCGTAAATTCTTACCGTATGCTTAAATAAGCAAACCGATGAATATAATTATAAAAACATAAATTTAAATTCATCATTGAACATCTAATAAACAAAAAAACAACAACATAAAAGAAACCAACAAAAAAAATATTTCCAAATGCTTTATTTTTGTTTCTAATATTGAGCATTTTTATAAAATATAAACAAATTCTTTTCTTTTTGTTAAATAACAATGCAGAGAAAAAAAAGAAAATACATAATATGATTATACAACAAATATGCGTATGAGTATTTTAAGTTAAAGAAAATGACACAGAAGAAAAAGAAAAACAAATTAAATTCTGATCACCGATTTGATCGATAAATAAAATAGATATTAATATGTAGTTATTTTAACTTGTTTATTGAATAATAATTTCATATCATCAGATAATTTTTCATCAATAATTACTTTTATTTTTATTTTTAATTTATCTAAATAATCATTTTTTAGAATTTCGTCAACTGTTAATAATAATTCATCAGTTTTGGATTCTAAACGTTGTATTAAATCATGAAATTTTAATAATAAATCAACTAATTCAACTTCACTTAATTTCGAAAGTTTTAAATCTTCTTCTAAACGACAATTAGCTATTGTTTCAATATATAATGAATAAATTTTTGCATTTGCTTCTTGTTGTCGATCACATAACCATTGACGAAAATTTGGCGTTGATAAAAAATGTTTATATAAATCTTTCCAATCACCTTTTAAACCTGATGTTAATTGTGGTCCATATTGATCGAGTGTTTTAAGAAATTCTTCATTATCAAAATCTTTGATTGTTGGTGGTTTACGATTAACTTGATAATATTTACGTAATGGTAAAAGACTAACAAAATATCGTTCAAGTGGAATAATAAAACTTTGTGTTAATTCAAGAAAAAACCGACGTATTAAAGCATTTTGAACTGTATCAGGACGTTGTTGAGAATTAGTTGATTGAAGTTTTTTTAATATAGTTTTATCACGTTGTAAATATGGTTTATATTTTGTATATAAACCAGGTTTCATATCGAATGTTAAATGTGATGAATTATTACTTGTTGTACGTGTACGTTTATATGGTTTAGAATTCGTAGGAAATTTTTTCATTATTGTTTTTGTTTGTGGAGAAGTTGAAAGATTTATATTATTATCATCATGTTCATTAGTTGGCGAATTATCTTCTATGATAAGAAAATTTTCAATTTGTTTAGATTTCATTCGATCTTGTTGATTATCATCAACACGAATGATATGTGGCCAATGATGAAGTAGTTTAGCAAAAAATGGATTTGTTACACCAATTATTATAGATGGTTGTGATAAGATTTGAGATGATGTTTTACTGGATGATTTTTTGGAAGCATTAAATGTAATCTCTTGAAATTCACTGTTATGAATAGTAAAAAATGGACGGTAATCAGATGCATATCTTAATGGCCAAATTATATGGACTAGAAAAAATAAATTATGCAATCATATATTCACTTGTAATAATAGAATTTAGACTTTATTCAGTGGCGGATCTAGGATTTTGGAAGGGCGGGGCGATTCTTGAGTAGGGAGGGAGAGTGATTTCGGCTAAAAATTATTTTTAGATCCAATCGTAGTAGTGTGAACCTAGTTTTTCGTTCATTTTTGCTCTAAAAAATCACAACAAAATTTGACGGGGCGGGGGGGGGGGGGCTACCGTACCTCTCGTTCACCCCTAAATCCGCCACTGACTTTATTATTTCATTGTAGAATTGTGTATTACGTTTAACCTCTGGATATACATTCTAGTCACAGAAAGGAGCTTCTGTATCATAAATATCAAAATAGAAAGATAGTTGATCTAATAAAATAATTTACCAAGTGCTTGTACAGTTTGTGAGCAATTAGTTGGAAACGATCCAAGAATAGCAATTGATTCATTTAATAAAATTAATTCCCATAGTAGTTGAATATGTGTTAGAACAGAAGATAATGATTGATATGTATTAACATCATGTACAAATGGAATTAAACATGGTAATTGTTGTTCATGTTTTTGATGAAATTCAAATGATGTATATGTATAATTATTATTAACCGTTGAATTCTATGATAAAAAAATAAATAATTATAATATATTTATTTTAAATTTAAATTACTTGTTGTTTATTAGGTAGAGAATTATTGCTTGATGATGTATCAATATCTGTATTATCATCAATAGGATATTTATATGAATTAGTATTATTTGAAGACATACTTTCATTGACAATTGAACGAAATTGTATAAGATCTGATGATGAAAATGGTTTATCACCATGTGTTGGAATACGTACTTGAAGTACATTACCTAATAATGGTAATAATAATGTTTTTCCTGGTTCTGGTTCAGGCCATTGATGATCCATTAAATGACAACATGTTTCTAAACTAGTTAAACCATATTGAAAATAATTAGGACCAAGTTGACTAACAATTGATAGAAATAATGATATAAATGGTAATTTAGATAAAAGTACAAGTGATTTTTGAAAATAACCACGTTTCACTGTTTTATCACGTATTTGACGAAAATGTACATAACCAAATAATGAATTATTATCAACTTGTAATGCTGGTGGAACAATTGAATTATAATATTGATAATATGTTGGTAAAGTTGATTCATGTTTTATACGAAAATGATATTGTGTATCACCAAGAAATGTTGAATTTGCATCAGGAAATGATAAATAAGATAAATTTAATTTTTCTTTATCGGTTAATTTACAATGATTTGGTAATAGAAGTTCAATTGACTGTCCTAATTCAAGATCAAATGTAACAACAGCAATACCATATAACCATTTTTGTAAACGATCCCATGGTAAAAGAAGTGGTGATGGTGGTACAGAAGAATTTACCAGTAATGTTGAAGTTGTTGTTGTTATTTGTAAAGGAATATTTGATGTTGATGATGATGCACTTGCTATACGAGGTCGAGCTGAACGACGTTCATTAGATTGAAGATCACGATCAGAATGTGAACGATGAAAGTTTGACGATGGTGACGATGATGGAAGAGTCAAACTCATTGTATGAATAAAAATACTAATTAGACAAAAATATTGTGTTTTTCTTTCCTTTTTTGCTTGCTAATTAATTACAAAAACTTGTTTTTCATTATATACGCTTACTAATGTTTTTACAAAGATTTTTATTTCTCAAATTATCTTGTGCAAGGTTACATTTTATAGTATTCATATTATCTAATAAAAAAAGAAATTCGATACATTAACTTAACCTTTAGAGACAAAAGAACTATGCATATTAATTTTATCTCTGTGCCATGATTTCTTCTTTGCAAAAGAATTTTATTCTAAATTTAAGTAAAAATAATCTACTTACTTTATTAACTGTCATCGACAATCATGTCTAAAATAAGGAAAATTCATAAAAATAGACGATAAATATAAGAACACACATCCACTGTGTTTATTTTCATTTATGTCTTTCTTAAATTGTCACAAAATAGAAAACAAAACAAGAAAAAAAAAAGATACATAAAATAAAAACAAAACAAAATAATAATGATAGACAGAAAAAAAATACATAATGAAAGAAGAAAAAAAAAGAAGAAATACACTGTTTGCACAATTAATATAAATGTAGTTAATAAAGAGCTGGCAAGAAAAACTATATAAATGTATACAAATAAATACTGTTTCGTATTTTTAAAAAGAATTTTCACTGTTTTTTTTTATTTAACGTGTACTGGTTGATATTTTATTATTATTAGTTTCTTCTCGTTGACAATATAATTCTTTTAATTGTCGTAATTCTTCGATTAAAGCTTTATTTTGAGTTTCAAGTCCAGTTACACGTTCTTCAAGACATTTTATATATTCTTTTTTCTTACGACGACATTCACGTGCTGCATCACTGAAAAATTTGAAGAGATAAATAAGATTAGAAAGAAAATAAATGAATGAATTATTTTTCATACCGATTTTTTTGTAAACGTACTGCTCGTTTTCGAGTTGGATCAGCACCACCATCATCATGTCGTTTTCCTTGATGATGTTGATGATGATGATGATTTGATGATGAAGGATTTGAAGAATTTGATGAGGTTGATGGAGATGGAAGATCAGAATTGGAAGATCGTGCTAATTTATAATTAGATGCTATATCACTTGGTAAACCTAATTTGAAAATAAAATTATTTTCAAGTTTTATCACAAACAGAATATACATCAATAAAATTTAGTGGAATTGCTTTTATCTTAATAAATCTTATCTCATTCTGAGGTAAAGATTAAATGAATTCTAGTTAACATGATATAAGTATAAGAGATAATACTATTTGTTAAGTTATTATAAAATAGATAAGATTAGAAAATATTCCTACTAATTATCAATAGAATTAAAATTTTCTTATTTAATTTTTGAAAATATTGTATCACGTATAAATATTTAATACTCAATTCTGTAATACAAAGCGATCATATTTCATTCTTTTCATATACATAATAAAACAGCCCCAATCTACTGTGTGTTTTTTGATAGAATTCAATTATAATGTCTCGCTTAATCGAAAGAAAATCATTCACACTAGATAAATATCTTAGAATTAAAGACAATTACTATACCTGAAACAAAATAGGATCCACCATTGTCTGTTATATGTGTTTGATTTAAAGTTGATATACGATGACCATCAATATTAGCCATTGACATTGAATTAGTTGCTAGACCGTGTATTGATTCACGTGAATTAAGATGACCTCTTGTGTTACTTTCTAGGAAAAAAAGATTTGTTGTCATAGAATTTTTCTTTTTAAAATTTTACCTGTTCCTTGAATAGTATTACTTATTTTCGATTGTTTTATTGGTAATTGATTTGTTATTATACTATATTCCGGCTCTAAATAACTATTATTGTCCGATTGTTCTTCTTTGATACTAAATAATTTTATAATTAATAATTATTTTCATATAGATTTAAATTTACATACGTAAATGTGGGATGATTAAAAAGAATATTTGATTCTTTATTAATATTATTATTATCGGAATTAACTGGTGTTGATTCAAATTGAGATGAAGTCTAAATAATGATTTTTTTATTTAGCTAATAGTTGTATTAGTGTCTTTTTTTTTCTATTTACTTTAACTTACCTGTATAGTCTGACGCGTTGGCGTTTCGACTGTTGTGTTTATTGTAGGTGAAAGAACAAAAGATTTTGGAGCAGTTGTTGTTGTCGTATTACTGACTAATGAATGATTGGTTGTTGACGAAAGATTCTGAACATGTGCAAAGTTTTTGCTTTCCATTAGGAACAGACAAACTTAAAATGGCAAACATACTTAAAATAAAATGACAATCTCATTTAAAAGAAAAAGAAAGAAATATATGAGATAGATATTAATTATTAAGAAAGAAAAAAAAGGTCATGGAAACAGTTTATAGAGTGTAAGAGATTTGTAATATAGATTATTTTTCTACGGTTTTGAAAGGATATTTTAAATTAAACTATTGAATTTTCTTTTTTTGCTTTTCTTCAGGAGAAAAAAATAGAAAGACGGATTTTAATAGCCAAACAAATAATTATTCATTCGTCACCCAAGTTGAGTAAACCTCGCATGACGTCATAGGAATGTATATTTTGATTAGTTATCAAAATAGAACAATCAAGAGTTTTTATAAAAGTCAAAATTTTCGAATAAATCAATAAACTAAAATCTATGACAATTTTAGTAGGATTTTTATTTTTATGATTAAAAAATATAATTTAAATAGTAGAGAGATATAATTGATTGTGGCGCCATCACATTTCAGGTGCTGACGACGACGTCGTTTTTCGTCTTCAAATAGCTGCTGAACGAGCGAAACCGATTTTTACGAAAGTACCTGAAATTCTAACATTATTTCTTTTCCTTCTCTGTTTCACAGAATGACTTTTTAAATAGTATGTTATTTTAATTTATTATTCGTTCTTAATACATCAAATCGACAATTTAGGTATGCCCGTTATTCCCGTTGAAATTGATTGTACACCAAAATGCCGTTCAACAACTCATTATCTAGATTTAATCCGTGTTGCATCACAATCTGTACCAGCTCAACTAATACTCAGTTATATATGTCGATGTGGAAACTGCGTAAAAGGTTTTTGAAAATTCATTTATTTTATTGTTTTTTTATTATCTTATTTTCTTTTAAAATTAGGTCATGATAAATATGGTCGAACATTACTTCAAGTATGCTCGGCTTTACCTGAAAAATGGCCAATAATTGATTGGTTATTAAAACAAAAAAAAGTCGATATCAATCCTAAGAATTTAGAATCAGGCTATACTGTAAATTTATCGAAAAGTTTTTCAAATAAATTAAATTTCTTTTTATTCTTAGGCTTTACAGTATAGTGTATTCTATGGCAGAATTGATAATGCTATTAATCTTATTAAAGTATTTGTTATTAAATCTTTTGAATTACTGAATAATTTTGTTTGTTCTGAAAGGCCGGTGCAAACACAAATCTATTGGATTATGATCATATGACATATATTGATAATATTATACGTGATACATACGTTGAAACACGTAGTCAATTACCAGGTATTAATATATACTTCTATAAATAGATCAATTGAATGATTTTTTATTATTTTTAATCTGAAGAAACCTATGAAGTATATACAATGGGTGAAAATACAAATGGAAATTTAGGTCATACTCAAGTAATTTCAAATATAATCTAAGCATTATATTTATAAATTTAAATTTTAGTCAACAGCTAAAAGAGTCCCTGAATTAATCGATATATTTCGTCGAGATTCAATTTCTATCACAAAGGTTTATTTTGAAAAGAAAATATGAAATTTAATTCCAAAGAAATTTCTAGGTTAAAATAGATAAATATCATACATTATTTTTATCGGAGAATGGTTCAGTTTATTCTTGTGGTTATGGTGTTGGTGGACGTCTTGGACATGATAATGAAGAACCAGTTTTAGTAAGATAAATGATTTATATAAATACAAAACAAAATACATATACTTTTTATAGAGTCCTAAACAAATAATGGTTATGGAAACAATAAAAGATACTGAACAAGATCGTTGTATTGATATTGCTATTACACGAGATTGTTCTTATTTTCTTACTGAAAAGTAATTAACGAGAAAATATCGAATTTTTGTATTGGTTTCTTTTTTTCTGCAGAGGTTGTTTATGGAGTTGTGGTTTAAATAATTATCATCAATTAGGTCACCCTGGTATAACTAAACTTTTAGTACCAACAAAAGTAAAAATAAATAATGAATGAAAAATTTTATCGAATTTTGTTTTTTAAGGTACAATTTCGTCAAATAAAAGATCGAAAAATAACACATATAGCTTGTGGTCGTTTTCATGTTGCATTGATTGTTGATGATGGACAATTATTTACTTTTGGTCTTAATGCTGGACATCTTGGTCATCCAAAAACAAATGATTTATATATACAACAACCATTACTTGTTACGAAATTTAATAGTCAATCTGAATATGTTCAAAAACTTGTTTGTAGTGATTATGCAATAATATGTTATACAAATAAAGATGCTATTTATGTATTAAATGATTATAAATATAGAAAAATTGTGAAACAGTAAGAAAAAATACATCACATATAAAGATTATTATTTAATTTGAATATGATTTTAGTGTTCCACAAGTAACACAAATAGCTGTAGTAGGTGGAAAACTCGAATCAAATGGTATACTTGATGAAGAGAATATCGATGATGATTTGAAAGTATTTTATGTTCAATCAAATAAAGTATAGACGAAATTGAAAAGTAATATTTGAATTAGTAAAGATTTTTTAGTTATATCTTTATCATGAACGTGAATCAAGTAATGTGAAAGCAAAATTATGTTTATGGGCAACTAAACAACGATTATCTATCGAACAGATAGCTGCTGGAACAAATGCGTTGATTTTTTCAACAAATACTGGTCAAGTTTATACTGCAAGTTTAGATAAATTAGCGAATGTTAATAGAAAAATTGAACATGGTAATTAATATATAATCAATAGAAATCTTAATACTAGATCTAAACTAATCGATTTCAAAATTTCTTCGCTCTCTCGTCCTATCAAAACATATATACAGAGATTTTTTCTTCGAAACTTACAATCATCTAATCTTTCCTTTAGAATTATTAATTCGGTTATTAAATTATCTTTATAGATCCACCATCAAATTCAATTTATGATGAACGTGCTTACCAATATTTAACTCCATCACCTATTCCACTTCTACATCGTTGTCGTTTATTAACAACTGATCGTACAGGACGTTCATTAGTTGCACTTCAATATCATCCAACTACACAGTAATTATTCTCAGATAAAATCTCATCATTTTCTAAGTTTTTGTTCTATAGTTTAAGTGCATATCCACGTCAACCACAATCAAGTTTTCAGGACAATCTTCATGAATTACTTAATGAAGCTGAACATATGCATGATATAATGCTTGAAATAAATAATAATCAAACATTTCCAGCTCATAAATATATATTATCAATGCGTAGTCCTTATTTTCGCGAACGAATAATTAAAAAAGAAATTGATCATTTATCAATAATAAATGAAACAAATCATTTTATTGATCCGGAATTTTTTCAATTAATTCTTGAATATATTTATACTGATAAATGTCCATGGTTAAATTATTCACATAAATTAAAAATACGTGATGAACATGAATATCAAGCTTATTTAATACGTATGAAAAGTACGGATGATGATATTAATGATCATCGCTTTTTTGCTCGTGCTCGACAACAAGCTTCAACAGCTTCATCTACTAATCAACATGGAACAAAATCGAAAAAGAAAAAAAAATCTGGTAGATTTTAATTTAATTTTTGTTTTATTCTAACTTCGAGAATTTCATATTCAAGGTGTAACATCACCAACAAATGAATTTATTCCTGGACAACAAACTGATGATGAATTAACTATTGGTTTAGAACGTTTAATTGAACTTGCAAAATTATTTCAATTACATAATCTTCGAAAAAGGTAGAGTGTATTTTAAAGATTATTTCTTTTCATTCATATATATTTATATAGACTTGATACTATAAAACAAAGTCGACAGAAAAGTTCTACGAATAGCTATGATGAATCAATTGGACAGATTAAACAACGTTATCATTATACACGAGAAGCATTGTAAATAGAAAAGAATTTAATCATGGGAAATATTCTTTTGTTTTTTTTGTAGACCAGATTTACATGATGTAACAATTATTTCTGAAGATGGGAAAAAAATTTCATGTCATAAATGTATTTTAACAAGTCGACTTGATTATTTTCGTCATATGTTCTTCGCCGGTTGGATAGAAGTAAGAAATAGTTTATTTCTCAGTGTATTTCTATTTATAAATTTAGAGTCAAAGTAATTCAGAATTAAATATGGCAATACCATCTGATTTACTTGAAATTATTATTGATTATTTATATACGGATAATATTTCAAGCAAATGTAAGTTTCTTAAAGGAAAGAAAAAGAATAGAAAAATAAAATTCTTTATTTAGTTACTGTTGAACAACTTTGTCAAATTTTGGTTCTCTCAGATCAATTATTAATCGAAAGACTTAAACAAATTTGTGAATTTCATATAGCAAATTTAGGTAAAATATTTCAATATTAATAAACTTTCTTATATTTATTTTTTTTCATAGTAACATTTCGTGATGCTGCTGAACTTCTACAATTTTCTTCAACATACAATGCTGAACAATTGAAAATATTTGTTGAACAATATATTTGTCGAAATCTAGCTACTTTTCTTGAAGCACGTTTACTTGATAATCTTGATAATCAATTAATCATTGATTTAACAAAATCTTATCGAAATTTAGTAAAATTATTTTTCTTATCGATTCCTAAATAAAAAATATTTTTATTATAGCTTGATTGTATGAATTATCGAATGATAACACCATATAATGATTGTCCATCATTGGATGATCTTTTTATTGATCTTGATGAATTAGAAAATTTATCTATTGATATAGATGAAACAGCAATAACAGCAGCAACAACATTTGCAACGAAAAAACAACAATCACAACAAAAACGAAAACAACAGAATAAGTAAATTGAAATATAATTAAAAATACAGGCTAATTTTCTTTTTGTTTAGATTACGTACATCAGAATCAGAAACTATAACTAAAGCATCACCACCTATTTCAATTGAAACTACATCAAATGTAATAATACCGAATCGTACTAAAGTACAAGAAGAAAAATGGACTTCAGTATCATCGAAAAAAACATCGAAAAATAGTAAAGTAAATTACTAGTTCAATCTATTTTAACATATATATATATATATATAAATTCATGTATGTTTAAGAATTCACAAATAGCAGCAGGATCAAATAATGCTGTGATCAGTCCACCTAAACCAAAAATTCCAGGTGCTGTTTATACTCAACAAGAAGGTAAGTTTTTAACTATTTTAAAACTTTATGAAAACTAAATGATGAAATTTTTTTCATAGCGGAACAATTAGCTGCAATAAGGAAAGCAGCAAGTCAAGAGATAAATATAAATAAACCAGTGATATCACCACAAATGTAAATTGATACTATGAATTTTCTAATATTTAAAATTATTTCCTTTTTTTTTGTCTTTATTAAAGTGCAAAATCATTAACACCTGCAAAAGATGAACCACCTTCAAAGGGTCCTTGGAAAACTATAACTAGTCCTGCGCCTGTATCATTAAAAGCAACGTTTTCAACAGAGAAAGAAGTAAATGTACCAAAACCAACAATGGCACGATCAACGTAAGTTTTTAATCACATCATAAATCTTGTTGAGAATTTATACTTGTCCTCACACAATGAATTTAATTATATATCTAAAAATGTGTTTAGACCTGTTACAACTTCAACCCGCTCAGTTCCTATAACTCCTATATCTCCACCACAACATGATATTACGAAACCATGGGCAATATTAGCAACATCACCACCACCACCAACATCTTCATTTGCATATTCAACGATGTCTATTGCTACATCACCACCAGCTCCACCAATGTCATTTAAACATATACAAGATCAAGAAGCACGAGCACATGAAGCTCTTCGACAAATCAGTAATAAATCACTTGAAACAATTCAGGTATTTCAATTTTATTTATATAATCCTAATCATATGAATCTATTTACAATTCATTTAGACTGAAGAATTAGCTATACAAGCATTACATCGTTTATATAATTCAGCTCAAGAATTTGATATTTCAATTACTATTGAACGTGTTTTACCTGAAATAGCCAATCCAATTTGGCCTCGAACATCAACAGCAGCAGCATCATCAGCAGCATCAAGCATTCTCTTAGTTACGCAAAAAAAAGGACAAAAATGATGATATATATATATATACAAGCTATTTCTGTTATTTCTTTATTTTTGTTTTGAAAGGATATTCTTTTTTTTTTGTTATTGGTTGTTTGTTGATTTGATATAAAATAAATTCTTATATCTAGATTTACTCTTTTTATAGATTAAATCAACAAAATTTATACAATAGGTTAACTTATGTAAGAAAGAAAGACGTAATTTTGTATTCATACATTGTCTAATGATATCTGAGAATATTTGAAATGATACATATGTCTTAAAATATAATTATACTTTCTTATTAATAAACATGATATATTAGAAAATTGAAATATATAATATAATCTAAGTTTAGTAACATCAAATATCATTGAAATTGAATAGTCTACAGTAAGGATTATCTGACTCTTTATTTATTAATTATTCTATTTATAGTTAATACTCATCTCGATAAATGAATTTTTTCTATATCTTTTAGATGTTCAAAATTAATTCTATGCCTCTTGTATTTCTTAAACGCTCGGTATATACAGCTATAAAATCAATCAGTGAACCAATCTATTCATCTCCTATTCCATCGACTACGACTACGACTACGACTACAACAGCATCAGGTCGAATGCAAGCATGGATTATTTATTACTATGGTAATAATCAACAATTTACTATCTCCGATAGTGTACAATTACTAATTATACTTTCACCAAACGATGTTCTTATTAAAGTTTCAGCAAGTAGTATTAATCAAATAGATATTCGAAGACGAGGTAAATAAATAATAGAAGAAAATTTTGTTCAATTATTTTTTATTTTAGAGGGTTATGGTGGTAAATTAATTAATGCATATCAATCAATGAAAGCTATTTTACAATTAGGAGGTAGTAAAGTTGATAAATTAGAATTTCCTATTATATTAGGTCGTGATTTTTGCGGTGAAATCATTCGAAAAGGACCTAATGTCACAAAATTCAATATTGGAGATAAAGTAGGAACATTAAAAAAGTAAAAAAAAGAACAATGAACTTTATTTAATTATTTTTTTATTCATATAATTCTAAGGTTTATGGAGCATTGAATGTAATACGACAAGGTAGTTTTGCTCAATATTGTGCTGCTGGAGAAGATGAAGTTAGCGTATAAAATCCACTAAAACAATGAAATTACGAATTAAATTTTAGATTTGTATAAAACCAAACAATATATCAGATGAAGAAGCAGCTGCATTACCACTTGTTTCATTAACAAGTTGGTATGCTATTCAAAAATTTAGTGGTTTCAATGAACAAAATGCATTAGGAAAAAGGTATACGATAATAAATCATTTCTTTATTATTATTATTTAAAATTATATTTTAGAGCATTAGTTATTGGTGCTAGTGGTGGTGTTGGTCATATAGCAACTCAAGTAAATAAAATAATTTAAAATGATAATATTTATTTACTAAAAAAATAGTTATTCAAAAATCTCGGAATGGAAACAACTGCTTTATGTAGTGCAGATTCATTTGATTATATTCGACAAATAGGTGCTGAAGATACAGTTAATTATAAACAAAAAGATTGGCTTACTGAATTAAGTCAAAAACCAAAGTAATATATTCTTCTTTTGAGTATATTTACATAATTGAGTATGTTTAGATATGATATTATCTTTGATACAGTCGGTCCTCGTTATTATAGTTTTGAATTAATGAGTCCTTTGTTAAATCAAGGTGGTACATTTGTTACAATCATTACGCCAGTTTTTCGTAATGTTGATAAATATGGCCTTGTCTCTGGTCTTTCGCGTACAGCATATAAAGCTGTTAAACAAACTTTATATGTAAGAAAACAGTTTTGAAAAAAAACCTGATAATATTTAAGAATTTCTAATAGGGTTTATCAAATGGTGTTAATTATCGTTGGGCAGCTTATAGTGCTGATGGAAATGTTCTTAGTAAAATAAAAACTCTTGTTGAACAAAATAAAGTAATAATTAAAAACGATGAAAGAATATCTTTTTTTATTCATAATCTTCTTTTTAGCTAAAAGTTAAAATTGATTCACAAAAATTCTCATTTGAACAAATTCCTGAAGCAATCTCTTATGTTGAAAATGGTTCTGCCAAAGGCAAAGTTGTAATTAAATATAGTAGTGTTTTATAAAATAAAAAGCAAATATTGAAATAGATTTCTTCTTTTTTTTTTTAATTTTCGTTAATCATATCATCATCATCAGTTGTTTTTATTTTTCTTTTGTAATAGAAACAAAAAAAAAGAAACGTAAGAGAAAAATCAGGAAATCAGTGTTGACATAAAGAGAAATATCGAAAGTGATATTAATGGTCTTTTTTTTTATTTTTTGTATTTGTCACGTTATTGTGGTAAGGCTTTTAATAAATAGGTCACTTCTTCTGCAACAGCAACAAATACAAATTCAAATTGATCCTAGAAAAGAATTATTTTATAGATTAAATAAAATCATTTGTTGACATACTTTTGTTTTGACCATCTTAGCTCGTTGATCGCGAATATGTTCAAGTGTTGCAGCAATATTTATTTCTCGTGCTCCTTTGCAGATACGATTTAAGACAATGTCTAAGAGAATAAAAGTACCAGTACGTCCAACACCATCACTAGAGAAGAATTCCATGTAAAATGATGTTTTTTTTTAATGAGAGATACATACTTGCAATGAACAATAATTGGTGATGATCGACCACGAAAGCATTTGTTTACTTTTCTATAAATATATGATAGAAATAGAATTGAAAATAATCAAATCAGTGTTGTTAGAGATATAATCATTGATAATTAATTATGTCGAATTATTATTCTCATCAGGTCGCTTTTGTGACTATGCAATTATTGATTTCAAATTGCATAATTTTCAAAAGCTGCCGGAAAAGAAATACAGATGCATAATAATGTTCATTAGTTATAAAAAGATCTATTAAAAATAAATGTCTTCTTTTATCATAATCAATTATAAAACATATACTTTCTTTTCATCATTCTATGAAGACATATAAATGCAACTTAGTCATGTGTATATATGCTTATCTATAGTTCTATCTTCATTTCATTACTAACGACAAGTTACTTCTTCTTCTTCTTCTTTTTTTTAGCTCATTAATTTTAATCAAATATATAAATATAACACGATTATCCGTTTTACTTTATAAATAAGAATATAAATATTTATAGACATACCGTCGAAAATCTAATAGAGCTTTTGCTGATGGTGGATTATTTAATTCACCCCATGTTAAAAAGTGAAATTGTGTTACAGTGCGTGTTTCCATTGTTTGAACATTTTTTAAATAAAAACTTCGAACTAAATAATCATCCGACCAAATATGTTCCGAAACAAGATTGACCTTAAAAATAAACAAAATTATTTCTATTTAAATTCATTCAATTAATTATATATACTTCAAAATCGTTAAATCGTGCTGAACCTTCAACTGGCCAATAATGATGAGACATAGTTATACCATTTTCAACTGAAAAAAACAAATTATTATAAGATTATTTTGATGAAACGTAAAAAAAAAACAAATTTATTATACTAGGTCGAGTCAATGCTACAATAACACACGATCCTTGTTCCCAAACCATTTGCCAAAATGCATTTGTTGTATTTGGCATTGGACCTTGTGTAGCAATGTATTTGCATTTTGGATCAGAATCAGTCTAATAAGAATAACAAAAAGAAGATATTGAGAAAATTATTTGTTTTTTTTGCTCCAAATAATATACTTACGATTATACTTGCATTAATATAATCATCATTTCCGTTGTTTGCAAGTTGAACACGGGCATTATCATCTTTCAAAGAGAATAAGTATATGTGTATGTTTTTTTTTAGAAAGAAAAGATGATGATGATAATGATAATGATAGTAACATGTCAAATTGAATCCCTAAGACGATGTATAAGCGCATGCACAAAGTACTTCATCTTGTGCATGCATAAGAAAAAGGAAACGAGTAGGAGTTATAGTGCTCAAATTTCGATTCTTACTTCTAATTAACGATAGGAAAAAAAAGAAGAAGAAGAAGAAAGACGAGCGGAACTAACGTTTACCTTTCCTTTCTTCTATTTCTTCTTATTCTGCTCTTTTGCTGACATGGTCTCATATTCATCTATACATATAGATATAAATACAAAAGAGATGCTTTGGGATAGTTATGCTTAACATATGTGACCCACTGAAGGCGGCATCGATAGAATGTATAAAGTTAAAAAAGAAAATCCGACGACAAATGAAAATAAGTGCAAATAAATGTCAACTGATATATAGCTATATGCATCTGTCATTATTCTAACTGACAAATCACATGTCAACTATAGTATGTACTTACATGGTATGCAATCAATATATCGGTTTTTATTGGCATTAGCTTCTGAAAGTGCAATAGAACATGATGCTCGTTCTTCATTTGCTTCATCTGTACATAATGCTTGCCATTCTGCTTCTAAACGATGTCGATTACGTAGATGGTCTTCCATATATGACTAAAATAAAATAAATCGATAAAACTTTACAAAAAAAAAAAGAAAATGAATAAATCTTCATACTAGAATAAGATGACCAGTCATGATATCCATATTAACCGGAGCTACTGGTTCTTCACTCCTGTAGAACAAAAAAAAAGAAATGAAAATTTTCTTATTTTTAAAAAAAAATATATTTCTAACCATGATGATGTTGAACTTCGAGTTGATGAACCTTCACTATTGTGTTTTACATGACTGCCAGATGCTGCTGTTGTTGGTGCTGCACTTGATGGTGATGTTTTATGAATCTCAGGTGATTTACTACTTGTTGGATGTACTTGCATTCGTTGTCGACATAGATCCTTTAAACATTAGAAGAAAAAGAAATATTCATAAGCCGTCTTATTCATTATTTTACTTGATAATAATTTGTTGATAAACCTTTAATATGTGTTATTTCAGCAAGTTTATTTCGAATACGATCATTACGTTTAATAAAATAAAGTAAAATAAATGCTGCCATAGTAAAAAGTACCAAAGCACAAGTAATTAATGTAACAATTGTTAAGCGTGAATTATTTTGTCGTTCGACTGATAATTGACTGCCCTTTAAATATATAAAAAAAAGAAAAAGTAAATTATTTCTTTCCTTCTTTTTTTTTGAACAAAAATGATAATTTCTTTCTTTTTAGAAGTAGATTTTTCAAGATACTTTTCATTAATATTAACAATCTATCTTTTATTTCCATAGAAATTTTCTTACGAGAAGACATCTTTTCCATTATATTCAATATTCTATAGTTGTCTACTCATTCTTTTATTTTAAATTTACTTGAATTTATTCTAAGATGTTATCTATTTGACTTCTTTTTTTTCTCTCTTAGCGCACACAAAGGTGTCACATAATTATTGCAATGATAAAGAAAGAAATGAAACATAGGAACGGCATTAAAGACCTTTTTCTTTTGGTATATTTTTTTTTCTTTGTCAATTGAGCTATTGTGTTAGTAAGTCACCTGCTGAAATTATAGTTGCAGGAGGATAGTGAAAAAGAATTATCAATTATGTATGCATTCGCGTGTGAATCTAATAGATGCTCAATCTTTGTTAGCGCGCTCGTTCGTGCAAGCACCAATGAAAAAAACTATACCGACAAACAAACACGCACATGAAAATAAAGAAAAAATTAAATAGGTATTCTTAACTATTTATTCACTTATTTCTTGATTGAAATCTGTACTAATAGGATTCAAGTTTAAAAAAAAACATCGACACAAAAAATTAATGTCATTTATATTATGAAATATAAATATTTGTTATAGAAAGAACAAGTAAAGCAGAAAAAAAGAAGTCAAAGATCAGTTTATTAACTTACCGGAATGGGTAGATGCAAACAGGAAGTATAGTATTAGTGTAATATATAACATAGCCTAATGATAAGCAATCTACTCTAAGTATAATAATAAAAAAAAACGCCGAACAAAGAAGAAATGAAGGAGATACAATTCTATTTTTTATTTTTACGTGAACGAAAGAAAAGACGGCAAAGAAAAAGAGAGAGGGAGAGACAGAGAGAGCGAGAAAGAGATGTATGGTTCTTCTCTTTTTCTTATGCTCGTTCTTTTCTTGAACGATAATGATAAAGCCAATATAAAAAAAAACATCTTTTTTTCTTCTTCTTCTAAGTTCTATATTTCAGTTTAATGTCGCATAGGATTATTGAACATTATATATATCATCCTACAATGCACATTTATAGATATATATATATATGTGTGTATCCCTAAGAGGTTTATATTTGTCGTTGCATTCATTTTAATAGTGAATATAGCATGCATGATGGATCTCGATTTGTTACGCGCATATATAAGAGGATGAGAGTCAAGTATCAGCTTTAAGCCTCAAGGCATTTTCTAATTGCAATCACTAGCCACTAGTAAAACCAGCAATGGCATACCATACAATAGTCAGATAATATTTCTTGTGTCCGTTCTTTTTTTCTTTCTTTTTCTCTCTCTCTCTCCCTTTATATATCTATGTGTGTGAGTTGCACTCACAGTATCGATCTAGGAACAAAAAAAAACGTGCTTGATGCACTCTCTAATTATTCTTCGTCTAATCTACTTTTACATTTGCATATTTTCTTATTTATTTCTCTATCTCTTACTCGTCTGGGATTGCCAATGCCAGAATCAGTTACATGAATGCCCAATTGACTTGCAATACTTTTTTGATTGTTCACTAAAATTAAAAGAATAAAAATAAGACTGATAGGTTTTTTTTTCTTCTTCATCTTTTTTCTTTAAAAAAAATAATTCATACATATGTTGATTCTGGTTAATATCATAAGTTTCTCTTTTTAAATTTTTAAATTGTCTCCTGAGAATTAATGTAAATGTGGAGTTTTGATCAAGAGATAGCTGGAAAAAAAGATGATGAAAACTGATACTATCTTTCTATCATGTCATATAGACGGAAAAGAAATGAGACAAAAGATCAACAATGAAATTGAGCAGATCATTTCCTATAACCATCAACCAAAAATGACAATCTGCACGGATAGAAAAAAAACAAATTTTTTCTACTTAAAAACATATGTTCTTTATCTTTAATCATTATAAATCAAATAAACAATACTGTATCATCTTATAAACAGATAATAAATAATCATGAACAATTTACTTACAAGCTGCACTTGCAACACTGCTTGCATTTATTTGATAGGCATTATTCAAAACGTGAAATGTTAATATTTGACGATCAGCACTTTAATATAAAATAGAAAAAAGGTTTTTTCTTTATCTTAAAAAAGAAAATTTTCTTTTCATACTTAAGTTCAGTAAAAATAGCTGGTGGCCAAGAATTAATTTGTGCTAAAAGTGATAATAAACGAGCTCCTTCGATTTGATCTTTAAAACTAGACAGATAGACAAAAAAATATAATCCAAAAATAAATTATATTAATAAATATATATTTATACTCTCGATTGATGATGATATAACCTCGAGCTGTTTCCACTGTAAAATAACGTTGAGCATCTGTATTATTTATCATTTTATTATTATTTGGTGCATCTTTATGTGCTAAAAAGAATATGAATAAATTCAACTTTATGAAAAAATAATAAGTCATCATTACCCATTGCTCCTTCAGTTAATAATGGAAATGATTGTTTGTTATTATTAATTTGTAATGTTTCTAATAAACTTGGATGACCTTCGTTTATACGTACCGATACTTTTGTTGGTTCTTCTAGAATGAAGAAGAAAAATAAACAAAGAATTTAAAAGTGAATAAAATTGATCGGTATATTACTCATTGTTGATTCTTCTGCTACTAATTGTACTGGTTCATCTCCAAATACGATTTCATCATCATCCATATAATCGGTATTAAATTTATTTGCTAGTTTCAATTCAGCTTCGACTTCGTCTGCTTCAGCTATTGTTTTTGCAAGTGCAGCATTTATGGCTGACATACGATCTTGTTCAATATCTAATTCATCTGGTTGATCGTATTCCATGACTAATGGAATTCCATATGAATTTTCAATATCAATTAGAATATTACCCGCTCTTGTTGATGGAATGTATGGATCTTTATGAAAAAAATCTATAAAAATATTTAGTAAAAACCCAATAAAATCAATTTGAAAAAAATGTAATTTTTACTTTTATTTTCATTTAACGATTCTAATTGACGACGTACGATATTATCTTCTTGAACAACACCTGCTAATTCATCTAATTTTTCATCTTTATTTAAACAATCATTATAGAATATTTCCAAACGATTTTGATTTATTTGGTGTGTATCAGCTAATATATGGGATAGAATACATTGTGTCATAAAATCTCGCCAAATCAGATGATAACGATTTAAGAAATCTAATGTATTTTCAAGTGCAATTAATTTATCATCAGTAAGTTCATCAACACCAGATTTTAATGCAAATGCTGAACGTATTGATCCTTCACCATCCCAACATTGTCCAAATAAACCATCTATATAAGAAAAAAAACCAAATTAGTTACTTAATTATAGTTCAAATACTTAAATTTATATTAGAAAATCTCGGCCTATGAAAATTTTTCTAAGAATATCTTATTTTTTTAAGTATATTATATGAATAAACAAAAGATCATAGGATCTTTTGTAATATAACAAGACTAATATTATAATCCTACAAATTGTATTAGGAGTCTATTAAGAAGAAAAAAACAAGTATCGATGATACTTTTTCTTTATATAACTATTGTTATTAATGTCGTATAGAAAGATAAGAAATTAATTAACTTACCATCGAAACAATCTTCATTTTGATTACATACATTTGAATCGTATTTGCAACCTAATTTAAGAAAATTTTATTGATTATTATTTTCTACAACGAAAATCTTTACCTAATAATCCATCGAAAACAATTTCTGGTTCAGATAAAGTTAAATATTCATTTGAAATAAGATTATCTATGCCTTCATCATCATTATTGGAAATAATTTGTCGTTTGTGTCGTTGTACATTGGATGTTAAATCATTACCAGATTTTTTTGTTGGTGCACCATATATAATGGGCAACGGATTTAAAAGTAATATTGTTATTAAAGTGACCAAACGATGATAAGAAGAAGTTGAGGAAAATAAAAAAGGAAAGGACGATTGGGTCATGTTCACTCACTACCACAAGGTGTGGGCATGAGTAGAAAGAATGGTAGTAGTGTTTGTTATTGTTGGTATTATTATTATTTTGATGTCAACCATGCGTTCTTCTTATTGCCCGGAAAAAAAAGAGAAAAAAGAGAATATAGTGGGAGAGAGAAAAAAAAAGTTCTTTTTTCTTTTGCTCAGTAATTATAGATCTATAGTGACGTTGCATAAAAGCTATGTTATTAAAGAATGAATTCCTCCTTTTTCTTTCGCCCTCTGTCTCTCTCTCTTCCCATTATTATCATTTTTTTTCTAGAACGTAATAGTAACAAAAAAAAGAAGAAGAAATGTGTACTTTTCTGACAAACATATGTTCAACATCTGAAAAAACTAATTGAGAAATAAAAGGAACTTTATATATATATTTTTTTGATGATGATGCTGGCAAAATCAGTCTTTGAAGTATATGCATCAGTTACAGTTCTCTTTTTTATTATTCCGTAATAGTTTTTTTTCTCCTTATTTCACATCAGGCGAGAATAATGATGAATAGCACACATCGTGCTTATACGCCCATGTATACGGAGGTACGTCAATAAAAAACTAGTTTTTTTCTTCTTCTTCTTCTTCTTTCTCATATTCTGAAAAACAAGTAATAGAAGAGAGGAAACAAAAAAGATTGTTGTCTCGTCTTCTCGTTCTTTTCCGGCTTTATCGACCGTCAATACGCTCACGCAATGTTCATCGTAACAACAGACAGGACTGTCATCATCATTCAACTGCCGATGTGTTTGACGAAAAAGAAAATGGAAACGAGCAGTTGCACTAAAATCTAGAGAATAGTATAGAACGCCTCTGCTTCTTCTCTTTTTTCTTTATCGTTTTATCAGCATTCCGAGGACAAATGTGGGCGACAATGAGGCTGTTCATTGCATCCTTTTCTTCTGGAAGAATGTGAATAAGACGTAGGCGAATAGATGAATAAAACAGCTCTAAGGCAATGAAGTGCTTAGCGGCAAACTGATTACAAGCAATCTAAAAAATAATCTCTTCTCCTTTTTTTTGGTTTTTTAAATATAATGATAATATATACACATATATTGATGTGAGTTGACGTATTTTGTAATTAAATTTAACAAATTAAAATATGAAAATAATTGCAACAAACTATAGATATAACTGATATAATCGCATATTGTTTATCATAGAAAAACAAATGGTAGATAAAATGTTTTTTATGTAATTCCCTAATTACTGATAAAACGGATCAAACAGTTAAAGTAATTCTTCAATTGTATCAATTGAGATTTGAATCAAAATTAGAAATTTATTTGTTCTTATTTATGAAAAAAAACTTTTTTTTATTTCAATCAATTTTATAATCATTTAAAATTTTTTGAATTTTTTCTTTTGATAATGAAGAATCGATTTGTAATCGATCTAAAGTGGTTTTTAATAATTGTTTATCGTCATTATTGAGAAAACTTAATTGTGTATTAAATCTCGGTGTTTGACGTATTTCATACATGGAATTAATTAAATGTTCATCAATATTTGTTTTCATTGACCATAATAGTAAAATTCGTGAAAATACAGATGAATCAAGACCAGTAGAAAAGATTGTTTTATATGTTGTTGGAGGAATTTGATTGAAGTAAATTGATTGCTTGTCAAGTTGATTATTTAGATTTGCCCAGTCACGTTTAAATTGAAAACCTGTTGTTGGAATTGCTGTTGGAATAGGAATTGATTTAGGTGATGGTTTTTGAGATTGTGTAGAAGGAGCAGAAGGAGGTGGAAGAGGTTGTGATGGTGGTGGTGGTGGTATAGGTTCAGAAGGAGTTGGAACCTAAAGAAAAATCAAATTAATTATTTTAAATAAATTTGAAAATAGAACAAACTTCTGTTGTTTCAATTTCTTCAATAATAATATTTTTCTTCTTTGTAATTGTACTATTTGAAATAATTGATGTATCAATTTCTTGTATTTCAATTCTTTTTAAAGGTTTAGTTGATCGTTTATCAATAGGTTTATCTTGTAATGGATATATTCTTCCTAATCGTTTAATTTCATCATTTTTATTAACTTCAGCTAATTTATTTTTTGCATCGGTATTAGATGGTTCACGTGAAATAACATATTCTAAATCTTCTCTTGCTTGATCAATTTTTCCCAGTCCAATACGTGCTAATGCTCGTCTATAATAAGCTTTTATATAATTTTTATCAAGTTGTATAGCTAATGTACAATCAGCTTCACAAGCACCATAACGCTCTTCAAATAATTGGCATTGAGCACGATTAGCAAAATAGATATGAGATGTTGGATTGCATTCAATTGCTTTTGTATAATTTTCAATAGCTTGAGCATAAGATTTTTGTTTAAAATAATGATTACCCCAATCTTTATAATGTTCAGCTTTCTTTTTTAATACTTCTTCTTGCCATTGTTCATCATCTTCATCTTCATCATCATCTTCTTCTTCTTCGTCGCCACCATCATTCTCTACTTTTTGTTCATTATCAATTCGTTCACATTCAGCATCAACATCAAATTTACTCCATGCATTATAATCAAATGAACGTATAGATGACGAAGTTTTTGGTTTCGTTTTATTTTGAGATTTTTTTTTTGGTCTTGGTGGTTCAACAAAATTTCGTATTGGTGGAAGATCTGCTGGTGTTGAATTAGAATTTGTAGATTTTTTTACAGTTTCTTCTTTCTTTTTCATATCATCTGTCCAAGAATTTAAATCTTTCATATAATCGTCTAAATATGCATTATTTTCTTGCATTTGTGATCGCATATCAATTAATTTACGTTCGTATTCAGTTGTCATGATTATATATATATATATATATATATTAAAGCAAGAAACAATATCTGAAATATCTTTTTTTATATTTGAAAACTTAAATCGAATATATGAAGCAAACTGTCTGTTGCTCAGTAATATTCCAATAAAAAAATATAATCAATTGGAAGAAAAATACAACGATAGATGTCTGTATATACAGGTCATTGTTTAATAAATACTAGTAATAGAATAAAATAGCTACACATTCAGTAATGTGAACATATGTTATGCTGACTAAAAATTTTTTGTTTCAAAGAGGTCGCATTGTATTTATTGGTTAGTTTTTACTGTTAATAATATCCAATACAATGTATGTTGCGATGGAAACCGGTGTGAGAGTCGTCATATTCTATCATTGGAATTATGAATTTCTTCTTTGTTTTCAAATCGTTCTGTATTTAGTTTAATAATGACAGATACTTTTTCACTTGAACAAATTCGTCTTGAACTTGCTCGATTAGGATATGATGGTTTATCAAAACAAACACTTTCAAAATTTCAAAATGATCTCGAAGAACTTGCTCGAAATGAAAAAAATCAAAGTATTCATTCTATGAAATAAACATTTATCGATTATTCTTTGATTTATATAGATATGCATGAGACAAAACGATTTGTTCCTCAACAACAATCTAATGTTGATTTTAAAGTAAATTAGATCTTTTTTTTTGTATTATTTTCAATATATTTTCATTATTTAGATTCATCAACCAAGTTCATCAGATAACGAATTTAATCGAAATGATGATGATGACGATAATGATGAAAGTCTTGATGAAACTAATACACCAACGTTAGTTTTATTATATATTTAAAATTATTTAAATACTTTTATATAGTATATCAAGTTATCATTATCAACCACGAATAATACATGAAGATGATAATCGAAGTGATACATCGTCACAAAGAGTTATTAAACGAAAAGTTCTTCGGTTAGATTAAAAAAATATTTTTCATAAGATTTTTTCATTTTATATTTCGTTTTTTAGACATTATAATGGTAAAGCAACTGTATGTGATGAATCAAGATCAGGTAAAAAGAAAATTATTTGAAAATTTCGAATTATTTTTATTTATTTAGAAACGGGTTCTGTACTTGATTCACGTGATATCAGTTATTTGAATGAACTTCAAAATCAACCTAAACAAATTCGTCGACGAAATGGATCAGTATCAGATATTGATAATCGCTCAAATTTTAGTGATGATGTAATATATATGTATTTATAATTATACTTTTTATCCATTTTTCTTTTAAATAGGCTCGATCAACATCATCAGTTCTTCCTATCAAATCATGTAGATAAAAAGAAGAATAATATAGAACTAATGATTTATTTTTGTTTTTTTACTTGACCATTAGTTATTCGTCCATCGACAGCTTCAACTGCATCTCTTCGTCGTTCTCGTAGTTTTTCAAATAATCGTATAGATACAGTTCAACTTCATTCATATTATCGACAACAATGGGCATCACAACGAGCACCAGGAGAAAAATCTCATCAAAGTTTGCGATGGGCAATTCGTGATCAACTTTTACAAAAAGATGTTCCTATTAAAGTAATATACATATACAATTATTCTTCTTAATTTTCTATGAAATTTACTTTTCGTAGAGAAAATCTATGCCTCGTGTGAATAATTATGTTGTACCAACATCAAAAAAACGTTCAGCACTTCGTTGGAATGTTCGATATTCACTTGCAAATGGTTTACAACCATCGAAAGATTTAGATGATTTACTTTACTGATAGATATTAACTTTTTGTTTACAAACGTATTCTGGATTTATTAGATTCTTTTCATTGTTTACTTTATATATGTGTATTAATAGATATAATAAAAAAAAACAATTAAATTTTTCCACGACATTGTAAAACAGGCACACGACTTCTTGTTTGATCACTTTGAGGATCAGTTGGTAATGTCATTAGAGTATATCGAGAACTAGTCATTGATGGATGACGATCTTAAAAGACAAAAGTATGAATTCTTGTCAAAGTGCATTTAACTTACATCGTATCATTTTGTTTGGATATCCTTGAGGAATTTTAAAATTTGGATCACCTCGTTTAAGAAAATATGCAGTTCCAGGAAGATAACTATTAAGTTCAAGTCGAAGAACATCTTGAAAATTATGTACTCTTCCTGTTCTATATTGTGGTACACTACGAGCACCACGTATAGCTGCTTCTAATTCATGTTGTGCAGCTCCTTGGTGATGTTTTTCCCAAGTAACTACACGTCCACGTTGTTCTGTATTAATAGCACTTTTTATCATCTATTATTAATTTGTAATATATGAGGATGAAAAAAACATTATATTACTTACATTCATTCGCATTTTAGCCCAGTGATCAGTTTTAAGATTTTGCGTAGCCATGTTTCTATCGATTGATTCTACTTTATAAAATAAATTCTTCACAGAGACTATAGATATAAACGTCTGATCATCTTACAGTTTTTGTTTTTGTAATGAAATGCTTTTTGATTCAAGTTAACTGTTTATTTTTTATTTTCGTTTTAAATACATTACATTTAACTTAAAAACAAAGCAACATATTTTTTATACATATGAGATCACATGTCTTATGTTTACGCAAACATTCTCAGCACTCTTTTTTTATAAATTTTCAGCATATAATTGACTGTTATGAAAACGATCGTCATTTGTAACTATTGTTGGCGATTGATGGCGAATTTCTGATTTTGGAGAATCTACGAACATAGGATTATAAAGATTTCGTTTATTATTTGAATGTTCATATTCATGATGCGAATATGGAGATACATCCATTTCTGCACCATGTGTAATAACAGATTCCATTATTGTTGGATTTTTATTGAGTATTTGTTTGCGACTTTGATTTCGTGTTGTTGCAATTGTTGTTGATGATGTTTTTGGTAATACATCACAACAAAATATCTTTTTACCTTGTCTCCATCGATAGATTAAAATAATTATCACTATAATTACGAAAAGTCCGATTAGACTAAATACGACACCAAGAACTATTTCAATGGTACGATTTTTTGATACATTAGAATCTTCGGCTGAGTTCGATGTTTTAATAGATAAAAAAGATTTTGATTCAATATTGTATGAACCTGGTTCACAATAATCTATTGAGCAATCCATCGATGATTTTGAACATGAAGAATGAATCTGTTGATCAGTAGTTAAAGAATCAAGTTGTTTTATTGTATTATTGTGAAGACATTGTCCAAATAATTTTATTGAATGCTTTTTCATCTTTGAAAGCCAACAAGACGAACAATTAATTGAAACACGTTCAATTTTAAGTATATGTAAACTAGTCAATTGAGTAAATAAACATCCATCAAGATCAAATAAATTTGTACTTGATAAATCCAAATATTTTAATGAATTAAGATATTTAAATGAATCATAAACGATACCTAAATGAAAATAATAAACTTTCATATAATTCAATTTCATTTACTTACAACTTAAATTTCTATTTGATGCTAATGATAGCCATGATAAATTTCGAAGATTTGTAAGAGCAAATCTCGGTATACTTGATAGTTTATTAAATGATAAATCAAGTTTAATTAATGATGTCCATTGTTGAATTTGTATAGGAAAGATATCAATTTGATTACATGATACATTTAATTCTTGTAAATAAGGTAAATATACATTATTAAGATCTATAAATGATTCAAGTTGATTCGATGCAAGATTTAATATTTTTAATTGAGTTAATTTTGAATTAAACCATTTCGATGAAATATTTGTTAATTGATTCATTTGTAAATCAAGTTCAATCAGAATATCACCAATTGAATCAAATGTATTATCATATATATTTGTAATTAAATTTGATTTTAATAATAATCGATGCATACGTAATGATAGAAGTTGTATTGAGCTTAATGATTCTAAATTACGTAAAGAAAAATCAACTGTGTCCCATATGATATTCTCAGCACAATTCGAAGCAAATGTTAAATTTAATAAATAAGATGAACAATTTAAAAGATTGTTTCTTGAAGGACAACGACAAGCTATAGTTTGACAATATGAACATGATATTGGTGAAGTAGTCGTCGTTGAAGAATTAAATTTCATTTCAGTTACAATACATGAAATATTAATTAAAAAGAAAACAAGGAGGAGATTTATTCGGTACATATTATATGTTATTGCTTAGTTTTCGAAGTCGATATTGTGTCGAATAAAAAGAATATTAATCGATTGTAATGCTTATATAAAGATCGATGAATAATATGGATGATGACAAAACAATGAATAGAAATGTATTGAGTGGATGTATACGACAGGTGTAGGACATAGTCTATACATGAGAACGATAGAATAAGAGAGGAAAAAAACGGAACAAAAAAAAGAATACAGAATAAGATTGGTCAAAAGTTCATCGTTAAGATGGAAGAATGAATATGACCGAAACGATTAAATAAAATAAATTCAATCGATAAGAAATTATTCTATAGTCTAGTCAAGTCTACCTCAAGTAAATAAAAGATGTATATGACATATGATTTTGATTTCTATTTTATGATTGAATATAAAGCTTCTTCAAATTTCTTTTGTCTAATACAGTTAGATGAGTAAATTTCTCACATTTGAAATAATCATACAAGGTAGTTTAAAGAAAAAAGATCGATTATAAGCAATCAAGTAGTAGATATTTATTCGTTTGACTGATCATAAAATGATTTTATTAATATTATTCTTTATATCTATACATATATTGTAATTTTACTGATCTGTTGCTATTAAGAATTTACGAACAAGCGAAGGATAAAATAGTACGAAGAAATTATGTGATATATGAAGTGTAAAAAGCGAAGTGTTTTGTTTTCGTTGTCGTATATAAAATTCCAGACAGTATTATTCTTTGTTGCTAACGTTCATATTTATATGCATCAATAGACTTCAATTCTCATGAAATAAATGTTGTTCAGAAGGATACTATTCGATCATCGATAATAGACATCAAATCAATTTACCATTTGAATATCAATATCGTGTGTAAAACAATCCGTTTGAATTATTTAATAAAAAAGGATTAAATGAGATCTAAAATTCGTCTACATTCAATTTCATTAAGAGAGAAATCATGAGAGCAATGAAGATGATGTCTAATATCGAAATGATAGACAAAAATTAACTTTTTCATTCGTTATGTGCATTCTAAAGATGATCATTAGAAACTACCAACCATCTTGAGGGTGGGTGGAAGGTGCGAGTGAAAATGTGGTTATTGACGTCAATCACCTACATTCTCAAGATGATGACGTACTTTCATCAGAGCAAAGCGTGGGTGTAAGAAAAAACAGTTACTTTCGATCACATCTACTTAAAGCAGAACCAAATTCCTTTTCAACATAAAACTTCAATGCTGAAAACAGATCAAAGTTGAACAGAAGGAAAAAAATTGTTTTTCTTTAATCAAACACTCTCACCGTTGTGCCTAGCAACTTTGTATTTATTCTTTTTCTTTAATTTTAGAGCTCTTCACTAAGCTATATACCAGCAAACATAACCAATAGATTTTGAATAATCTAATGTGTCTCGGCTGCGGTTCTTCTACACAAGTTCCAGATAATTTTGTTGGAAAATGGACTCATGACAAGTCAACTTATATGAGTATCGAGCCTAATGGGAAAGTACATTACATCAAATCGGTAAGATCAAAAATCGAACCTGTTTCTTAAAAACACATGCTTTTTAACATAATGATCAGATGAGTTGTATAATGACTAGCCATACTCGTAAAACATGAATAATACATTGGTAGAAGTGACATTTATTTTTCAGATGCCTATTGTTTATTATTGAATTCAAATGTCACTTCGTATATATGAGATTTTGGATAGCCTCGAGATCTACATTACACGAATGCAAAATATTAATTAGTTTTAAATATTGTAGGGACGAGGACGAACCTATAAATGGAATGGACCTGTTAGTTACAACAATGATGGCTTTTCGGGTAGTTGTTGTTTCTGCTTTACTATCGAAGGAAAATATAATGGCTCAAATCCTCAACAACCAACGTTTATTGTTGATGGTAATGTATTGACTAAAACAATAACTCAACAACCAGGCCGCACTTAATAAGTTATTGAACATACATAAGACAAATTCTTTTTTTTGTATTTTAAATAACTCATTATTTCTATATATAGAGGATGTGGAATGAAAGACTCAACTCCATCCCCTATACTATTAAATCTTTGATTTCATTAATTTAATCAAATTGTTACTAAAAGATCTGAAATCTGTACGCGGGTGACGGTGTGGGTGTAGCTGTGGATTCATCTTTTATTTATCCACATTCACCCGCACCCACATCCACACTCACACTCACACCCACACCCACATCCACCCATATCATGCACCGATTCTTTCTTAACTACTTCAGTTTCGCGAGATTCATAAACAATCAGCGAGGAACTGATATACCGTTCGTATGATCGCGATAGATCGTATTGTTACCTGATGCTTGAGGATGAATATCATGAGCTTATACAATTAGTAAATTTGTTGTTTATATTGTTGACAAAAGACGACTAATGATCACCGTTCACACTTCTACTGTGATGTTGCATATAGATCAAGTTCTATTGAAAAAATTAAACATTAGTCGTATGTAGAAACTGAACAACTAGAATACTTTATTTTATGGCTAACTTACTTTTCCCCAAACCTAATTTCGTTGGAGAACTACTTTTTATAACCGTTGAATCTTAACTTCATTTTTAAAACTGTCAATCGTAGATATAGAACAATGTAAAAACCTACGACAATCTCCAGTCTAACCATCTATTTTCATATGAAAGGAGCTTAGCAAAGGCTTGATTATAGATCAATACAAATAATATTTTGCAGGGCGAATATGGGTATCATTCTTATCATACACCCACTGTCACAATTACCAATCCACATACTCACACCCTCATCCATATAATCACACTCACACCTCACACCCACATCTATCCATGAAATTGAATATCTCGAGGAAATTCTGTAAGAAAACTGAATCGTATCGAATGTATTGACTAGCAATTACTTTTCTACATGCTTCTATACATCTTCTCGATTTTATTGCATAAAAAATGTTCTACTCCAAACGTAGTACCGCATTTAGTAATAGATAAATTAAATCAGTTATTTTTTGATTTTTATTTCAAGAATACGATACAACAGAGATGTTGACCGAACAGTAATTTTGATTTCGTACGATGTCTTTCTTGAAAATTTATTCTGTGCTTCCTTCCTCAGTACCATCGACATCAATAATTTTGATCGACATATGATTATGTTTTAATTCATCAAGTAGTGTATTGGCTTTGTCGGTTGCTTCTCTATCACTAAATCCTAGCTTTTGAAATATACTATATATTAGATTACTTAATGGTAGTTTTTGAAAACTACAGTAACTCGCAATAATATTCCAAATCCGTTTCAGAAGAACCATTAAGAAATCCATAAAATTTTTGATAACCCAAGGTTGCTTCAATGAATGTTGAGCAATAGCAGCACCTAATGCTTCTCTGGACAAAGTATACTCTTCTTTGAACTTCGAAGCATGTTTGCCTTTATTCAACGTAGTAACACAAATAATATCATGAAAATTCATTTTAAATTGTGATCTCAGCAGAGCTTGATTATGAATTTTCCACGAATCAATTGGATCATCTAATTCACATTGGGTTACTACCAAAAGAATCGGTACACTTGCTTCGAATATACCATCATAAAATAATTGATAATTGTTTGAAACGGCATTATTAATTCTTCCTTTTTTCATACACATGATCAATAGATGAATACCATCTGTTAAGCTATTAATTAACTTCATTAGATTTCCTACAGCAACTTCGGGTTTCACTAGACCTTTTTCAGATTCATTTAAGCCAGTCGTATCATAAATATTGAACGAATGTCCTTCTCGGTCACCACGATAAAGTTTCGATTCAAATGTACAGCCAAGAGCGGCATCAGATGTTTCAGCTATATCTTTATTAAATAGCAGATTGATTAGTGAACTTTTGCCAACACCCGATTCTCCAAAAATAACCACGTTGAAAGATTTACCCATCGCCATATTGAAAGATTTAACTAGAAACAAAATGAAATATGAATATTTTCAGTTTCTCGAGGATGTGATAAACTAAGAATAACAGAACAACGAGAAGCAACTAATTATTAACAGTAACGATTAAACACGTTATTAGACTTTTTTTCGACTCTTGCCATGATTCCGAGAAGCGCAAAAACAAACACAAGCACGAATGTTAACAAAAAAACGCGAGTCAGAGTGAAAGAGAAACCAGGTACGAATAGCAAATGTGATATGAAGGTATGTGGGGGTAATACCTTTTCGTCCTTGCTTTTTTTTTGGACATCGGTTAGAAAAATTCGTTTCGAATCCCAGTTGCTTTGAAAGATCGGAATGAAAAGTCCGGAAGATCGGAATGAAAAAGACCGGATGTTCGGGATGAAAATCGTACAGGTGTCCGCAAAGAAAAATACAGGATGGTCGGAACATAAAATGACGGCTCTTCGGAATGAAAGCTGTACAGATGTTCGAAAAGAAAAAATACAAGATGTCCGAAGTATAAAATGACGAATGTACGTAAGAGTGAATGGCCGATGTTCGGAACAGAAAAGAATTGTTTTTTTTTATAATAAAGTTTATTTTGTTTTATTTCCTAATATAGTCTTTCACAAAAAATAGCATCAGACAACAAATATTTATACAAGTGAAAGAATAAGTAACTTGTTAGGTGGTATCATCATCTTTCTTCATTTCTTTCTTACTGCATGTATGTATAGTTTCTTTCGTTCTGTTGTTACGTATACATATATCATATAGAGTGTGATTCATCATCTTCCTCTATATGTGTGTTCTCGTTCTCTTCTATAGCGTTCATGGATTTTTCCTTTCGTTATGTTATATGGATTTCTCCTCTCCTATCGTTTACATATGTGATGCTATATGTTATGGGACTTTTCCTCATCTTGTTCACTTGATCTCTTGTTGGACATATCCCTATCAGGGTGTTCCACCATCCTATATATAGCGTGTGTTTTTCTTCGAATAAACAGAGATATAGGATTCACATCCTCACAAACTTTTAGAAGAGAAAAATATTTAATATCTAATGTTTTTTTGTAGCATGGCTTGTTTTCTTCTTTTTTGGGATTTGTTTTATACTGTCATCATCCGTTTCATTTTCTTTTCGTTTTTTTTCACTCAACGTACTGCTGGCTGAAGATTTAAGAGAATTAGTAGCAAATTCTTTAGTGCGAGTGTGGGTGTGGAATGAGAGATAGATACAAAACCTATCCACATCAACTCTACACTCACCCCCTCAAGATAGTATTATTATATTTCATGGGTAGAGAAGCAGGAGAAGATGTAACTATTGCTGTGAGAGCAATACTTTTTGATCGCGTAATAATAACCATCTAAAATAAGACAACAGTGATACATTGAGAAAAAGATACAAAAGTTTAGTTTAATAACGATGGTTTTCTAACAACAATAATTACCAGACTTCTTCATCTTTCAGCAGCGAAGCGTGCAAAGAATAGTAGATACATACACTCATTCTTTCTTTTTTCCAAGAACAATGGCTGCTTACGATCATTATATGATTCACGAAATCAATTCAGTATGTAGTATAATGATTGTCTCAGTCAATCATGTTCATGATATTAGTCTCTAAAAAGTAGAGAAATTTTAAGTTTTACTGCTCATTCCTACTATCTATCTATAAGATCTATCGCTCGCGACTGAACTCTATACTATTTTGAAAAACTTTAATTGAATGAACAAGAAGAGGTCGCTGTAAAATGACTTAAAATATACTATATGAACAAATTGTTTTCGGTATTGAAAAACATACACCAAAATTCATTCCAAACATCCGTCATTTTGTGTTTCGGACTTCCAGTATTTTTTTGGTTTCGAACATCTGTACAGTTTTCATTTCAAAGAGCCGTCATTTGATATTTCGGACATCCTGTATTTTTTCGTTCCGAACATCAGTAAAACGATTTTATGTTCTTTTTCCGATTTCGAATCTCCGGTTATTCGACCGGATGTCTGGGAGAGCAAGGACGAAAAAGGACACGCCCAAATCATCCTCATTGGGATTATAGTACTAAGAGTTGCATGGCATGAAGATTAGTTGAAGATACACTTGTAGATTACTGAACTTCAATTGCAATTCTGATGAAGAGTGTAAGTCTATAATTCCCAAATGTTCGGCTTCTTCTTTTTAGTTTTAAATAAACCATTCTTCAGAAAAAAGAACTTTATATTTGCTTATGTTTACGACATATGAATGAAGAATTTTAGTCGTTTGCCTAAATTTGTACTCAAAATATTACTTTTATTATGACATCCCTTCAAACCAAGAGTTTAGCTATACAATCTATGTACGGATTAATCTAATAGTCATCAGTAGCTCCGGAACATGTAAAAGAATTTAATGTATGCTTTACAAAATATTGCGATACAAAACTCTACTCGTCTATATCGAAAGGACATAAAAGTCCACTTGCTCGAAAATTAAAGGGATCCAAAAAGTAAGGTGTATAGACTCTGAAATCTTCAGAAATTCTAATAGCTAATCAATCTTTCATACATAAAATATTGCATGAGAATTTTTTATATCTAATAAACAGACACTGATACACTTACAACTTGGCACAAACATATTGTAAGCGTGCACGTTACAAAATGTCTTCTTCTCACTAATACTTACTAGTACTTCCAGATGAAATTAATACTATGATAACAATCACACATAGGTCCCAGTGAACATAAAAACGGATATTTCTTCCTTTATATTTGATCACCATCGGTCTTTCAACAGAAAAATGTCTTTTCTTTTAAAATCTCACGATAAAAACATGCAAACTATTTCATAAATTTCTTTTTTCTTTCACTTCTCCTCGATAAGGAACTGCTACTAGACAATCACAAATCAGTGATTCAAGTAACATCGCTGCAAAAATGAGATTTCTGACAGAGCTTTACTTGGTACACTTTCAATACTCACCAAAGTTATGTAGTCTCTACTAACTACGACACAACAAAAAAAGCTCCTGTTGCTACAAGATATCATGTATATTTGTTGAATCAATATAAAATCTTATAAACGTTAAAAGTAAAAGCACTCTTGTTTGCGGTTGCTGCCGTTAATCAGAATTTTCATCAACATATTATTTTCAGTCCTGTATTGTTTTTGCATATTTATTGAAGTTGTTTCTTAGCATCATAACTGATGTAATCATTCTGCTGCAGGTTGACTATGGTGAGTATCTGTGTGAAAAGTGTGTAAATGATGAAGTGAAGTGAAGAGAAAGAAGAATAAATATTGTTGTTACTTTGTTGATTTGCAGAGCATTGGCAAAATATTGTACTCCTTGATCACCGATTCCATTGCGCTTGAGGTCGAGTGTGGTGAGTGTCTGTACGAAAAATATGAGAATGGTGAAATGAAGTGAAGAGGAAGAAGAATAAGTATTATTGTTACGTTGTTGATCTGTAGAGCATTGGCAAGATCTTGTGCTCCTTGATCACCGATTTTATTGCCTTCGAGGTTGAGTGTGGTGAGTGTCTGTGTGAATAGTGTGTAAATGATGAATTGAAGTGAAAAAGAACAGCATTGTTGTTACTTTGTTGATTTCAAGAGCATTAGCGATATCTTGTGCTCCTTGATTACCGATTATATTCCAACCGAGGTTGAGTGAGGTGAGTGTCTGTATGAACAATGTGTAAATAACGAAGTGAAATTAAAACGACGAAGAACAAGTATTATTGCTACTTTGTTAATTTTTAGAGCATTGGCAAGACCTTGTGCTCCTTGACACCGATTGAATTCCCACCGAGGTTGAGTGAGGTGAGTGTCTGTGTGAGAAGTGTGGGAATGATGAAGTGTAGTGAAGAGAAAGAAGAACAAGTATTCTTGTTACTTTGTTGACTTGTAGATCATTGGCAAGATATTGTACTCCTTTAGCACCGATATGATTGGACCACAGGGTTAGTGTCGTGAGTGTCTGTGTGAAAAGTGTATGAATGATGAAATGAAATGAAATGAAGAAGAAGAAGAAGAACAAATATTCTTGTTACTTTATTGGCTTGTAGAGCATTGGCAAGATCTTGCATTCCTTGATCACCGATTTGATTGCGTTTGAGGTCAAGTGTAGTGAGTGTCTGTACGAGAAGTGTGTGAATCATGAGGTGAAGCGAAGAGGACGAAGAACAAGTATTGTTTTTACTTTGTTGACTTGTAGAGCATTGGCAAGAGCTCGTGTTCCTTCATCACCGATTCGATTTTCAGAAAGGTCCAGTGTGGTGAGTGACTGTGCAGATAGCGTGTGAACGATGAAATGAAGTGAAGAAGAATAAGTATTGTCGTTACTTTGTTGATTTGTAGAGCATTGGCAAGATCTTGTGCTCCTTGATCTCCGATTTCATTGTGATGAAGGTCGAGTGTAGTGAGTGTCTGTATGAACAATGTGTAAATAATGAAGTGAAATTAAAAGGACGAAGAACAAGTATTGTTGCTACTTTGTTGATTTTTAAAGCATTGGCAAGATCTTGTGCTCCTTGATCTCCAATTTCATTGTGTCCGAGATTTAGTGTGCTGAGTGTCTATGTGAAAAGTGTGTGAATGATGGAGTGAAGTGAAGAGGAAGAAGAACAGTATTGCGGTTACTTCATTGATTTGAAGAGCAGTGGCAAATTGTTTTGCTCCCTTAACACCGATATCATTGTAAAAAACGTTGAGTGAGGTGAGTGTCTAGATAAGAAGTTCATGTAAAGATATAACATAAATAAAAAGTGAATGAGAGTTACTGCGTTGTGTTGTAATGCATCACCTAAAGATTGTGCTTTGATATCTCCGATATGATGCCACGAGAGATCTAGCGTAGCAAGCGCCTAGATGAAAAAAGGGAGATGAAGACATTTTAAAAATGAAGAGATAGAACAGGTGGTCGGTATTAGACGTGGTTAGATCAGGGAAATTATTATTGTTCGTGGTTACATACAGGTAAAACAGATATAATAATGTTTTATCTCTTTTT